AAGACACTCTGGAGGAAAAGGTAGGCATTGTGGTTGAGCTCAGTAGTACAATCCAGGGGTATTTTTAACCTGAGGGGTCAAAAAACAAGCATGGCAGTTAGACATGAATAAATAAACAGCTGGGTATCAAACAATTAATGGAACAAGACTGTGTTCTTGAAGGACACCTGCAAGCACCATGTCATTACAGCCACCTCCACCCAAAGGGCCAGACTACACTCTCTGAGCATGGTTACGCCTCACAAGCCCTAAGATGGTAAATCACGTTGCACAGAAAAGACGAGAAGATGATGAAGTCTAATCATCAGCACTCAAACCGTCCTTGCAGCATCGGTTGGGCTTGGCGTGTAAGACCAGAGAGCGAACGCCAGTGTTTGCATCAGCCGAAAGACTCACGGGGGGAATAGATAGTCCTGGGTGAGCTCCAGATCATCGTCGTAGCCAAATCGGCGCAAAACCGTCCAGGTCGTCTCGTGTCTGCCCCTCTGGATAAAGAGTGTGTGAAGAAACAGGAAGCCTGCAGGGAAACACACCATCGCGATGGCGACTAAGTGGAACCCAAGACAAACGTCCATCCAATCACATGTATCTACATCCCCAAACGGAGAACAATATGAATTTGTCCAGCCATCAGTGGAGCTGCATTCTAATGTAAATATCCTAATGAAGAACTGAAAGGCATAGAGGAAGGGCTGGTCTCTGTGAGGAGTCACCTTTCAGCGTGAGGCCATTATCACGCACTCCGTCCGCCATGTTCTTCCTCACCACATTCTTCACGTCCTCCAGCGCTTGCGGCGCCAAGGGTGTGTTGAAACACGTCCTCTGCGAAACACACAATGACTCCCAGCTGACCAGCACACCACAGGACCCCGCCCTACACCGCGATAACGCCTGAACATCTACAGTAGTTCTGCCCAAAAGAACATAATTAGAAAAAAGGCTACGTTCACACTGCCAGCCGCATCGTTCAATTCCGATTTTTTGCTCAGATCGGATTTGTCTATCTTGACGGTTCACATTCATAACTACAAGTGACCTGTATCTGACTGTAATGTGAACACATCGGTCCTCCGAAACGTCACGCATGCACACATTGATACGTTTTGACACGGGTAAAAAGCTGGTCGTAAAATTGGCACGTTGTGCGGCCATGACCGCTGCGCTGATTCCAGTCTTTTGCCTCCTTAAACTTTGACTTCAGGCTCTTTATTTTTCGTTGGCATTGTAGCCACGTTCGTGTCCGCGCTGTGCCATTTCTTTGGCAATTATTTAAAATACTACTCTATTACGATAGGTTCCTTCCAGTTTAGCTTGAACAGATTCATTTCCCCAAATATCAATTAAATCCCCACCTTCTCCATCCTTCCACTGACTGTTATTGCAGCTCTCCTCCATTTTTACCTTCCTGCGCTGCCGGTGCAGGCTGATGATGTCAGCGCATGCATATAAGCAAAAAGCCACATGAATTGCGATCTGAGCGTTCACATTCAGGTCGCATGGCCGCAAATCGGATACGTATCCGATTTAGCACCACATATGAAAGTGGCACAAACCCGATTTGAAAAGATCAGATTTTCGTGTCCACACAGCCCTGAAAAGATCCGATCTGTGTCACATTAAGGCAAAAAATCCGATTTGAGTCACTTCAGCATGGCAGTGTGAACGTAGGCTAAGTGATCTGATCTGAAACGGGAGATGTTTTTCTCTGCATTAAATGACCAATATTTTGCATTAATTCTGCACACAGCAACTAAACTAAAGCTTTTTAAAACAAAAACTGTTGAAGGAATTACACATAATCACTGACGTGAATTTAAATGACATGCGATTCATATTGACCAGGCGAATTTACAATAATTTACAGGTGTACAAATAACTGAAAATTATTTAATGCACTTAGGATTGATTGTTAATTTAGTTATATCATTCTGACTTCCTAGTCAAAAAAAGTTGCCTTACCTGGAAAAAATTAAGCTCATTATCGTTGAGGATGCCATCATTGTCCAGATCAGACACTTTGAAGATGCGTGTTAGGGCTTTGACACAAGACGGCTTAATCTGCCAAAAACAAATGTGTTCAGCTACCATGGTCACACACAACAGGACTTTAAATTATGCAAACATAATTAATTATAATAAAAAATTATAATAAAAAGTAAAAAAGCCATGTGGAATTACAGAAACTGTCATTGCTAAAGCCTGTTAGAAAGACACCATAATTACTGAATCAAGAGTCTACAATTGGCTGAGACTATGCATACATAGCAATGCAAAAACAGTCAATGTAAGTTAGAGGAATGAGCAGGAGATTTCAGGATTATGTCTGTCACTGCGACACTGGCAATGTGCACACCTCCTTCTCCTCTGGACAGTAAAGCGGCCCTGTTGGGTGTAGAACGGCCTTCTGGGCATAGTAGAAAAGCTCCGAGATGTTCTTCAGGTTCTTTGCAGAGCACTACAAACAGAGATAGGCATTACTCTGCAAGCAAACACAGAGTAACTAATAACGAAGTTGATCGGGGGAAAACAACAGGTAATGTGTCATGGATCTCCCTTTCTGCCTTTCAGAAACACCCGCAGCTAATCATCCCCACTGACAATGCATGAGTGTGTCTGCCTGGGATTGTGGTATTAATGCGATTCTATTAAATGTCCCTGAAGCTGTGACTCGAAAGTGAGCAGTGACTGTGCTAGTGCCACTGACCGCACACACACACCCAAACATACACAGCGCCCCCCCCACCAAAGATACACAAACACGCCCACCTCCACGCACGTCTCGATCTCGCTGTACTGGTTCATGATGGGCAGGATGGTCTCCATGCTGCTGTGCTCCACCAGATCTGACTTGTTCCCCACCAGGATCAGGGGCACCCTGTCTCCAGACACACAGAGCTGCTGCATGAAAACATCTGAAGTGGTATCTCACAACACAGATCCTCCACGGCTTACTCTTTCAGTCAGCCCATAAGAAAATGACACCACAAATCTTCCAGAAGAGCTCTAAAGTCTCTTCCATCTATCCATCCTTTTTCTATAACCACTTTGAATGCAAGCTTGCAGTCGGCCTGGAGAAACACAGGGTACAAAACAGTGGACAGTCCAGTCCAACACTAAGGAGTCTGTTCTCGATATTATTAAAGTAACCACAAAGTCACGACTAATGGAACTTTGCGCCAACACAAGATGTTTATGAGCTCATAAATTCAAGCACGGCATCAACTGAGAGATATAAACGGCTCCAGTATTTCCTGCCCTAAGGCTGCCAGTCTCCATACCTTCACCCTGGCCTCACTACTGAACTTATCAATTTCATTTGTTTAAAGAGCCCTTCCCAGCATAGCTGAATCATAGCACTTTACCCACACATATAAAAACACACTGGCGAACAGCTTTGCATGTTGACATGTACAGTACGCACACATTAGTCCTGCCTTTGACATCCTGTCTAGGTTAAGGTATCCATGATAGCAGTCACGTAGCACCAACCCCCACCCCCGACCACAATCTCCTCTTACAGACGTCCCATGCAGCCCTTAAAGGGGACAAGGCCCTAAACCCAGGACCCTCACAGTGTCCATGTGACGATCTCAGCGCCACACACCTGCTATCCTTGTCTGTCCTGTCATTTATGAGGGGAATCCAATGGCTTGTCACCTGCAGGAATGCAAACGTAAAACAACATCAGCAGAGATATTCAGGCTGAAGCAAACAGCAGACAATCTTTACCTCAGGTGTAGAGCCAGGACTATATCACTGTAACACAGGTCTGCAACCAAAAAACTGCATAGGAATTTTTGACTGTTTCTTATAGATTTTTACTCACTGAAACCGGGAAAAAATATTTTTTAAATTCCATCTTGTCAGGTTCTCTTTCAAAACTAATGTTTTTAGTTTAATTAAGCGTAACATTTCCCTTTTTAAACTGAAATCTGGTATCCTATTCTTGAGTCAAACAACCATATCCAATAATGATTCCTTACATTAATTTAATATTTCTAAGAGCGAGACTCAAGAGAAATACAAATAGAAAATGCGAGGAATTGAGGGGCTCAGTGGGGGGGGGGGGGGGGGGGGGGGGGGGGGGTAAGGTGGGACTCTTAAGGATGTAGTGCACAGGTTTTTGGGGGATACTAAACACCGTCTCTACAAAACCATGGTACAATGCATGTTGGCTGCGTATGAAGCTCAAGGATGCAAGATGAGCTTAAAAGTTAATTTCCTACACTCCCATATTGACTGTTTTCCCGAAAACTTAGGAGCCTATAGTGAAGAGCAGGGTGAAAGATTTCACCAGGATGTTCGTGAAATCGAGAGACGATGCCAAGGAAGATGGGACGTCAACATGCTAGCTGACTACTGTTGGATGCTCAGGCAGAAAACAGAAGATGGAAAGCGAAAGCGTGTTCGGAGGAGCATCAAAGAGAAGAAGAAAAGGTTTCACAGACAAAAAGAGTAAACATGTAGTGTTAAATGTCATGAAGGAATAGTTCTTTGTTTCTTTTTTTCCAATTATAAGAAAAATTATGCATAGTTAATTGTAATAAAATATTGTTTTTTTTTCATCGCTGTTGTGCTTTTTTAATGTAAACTCCTCATGTTTTGCAAAAAACTGTATGTGATGGAGGGAAATGGAGGTCATTTTTGGATTCAGCACCCTAAAAAACATCAAATTTACCAAAAATATCCCATGCAGCTGAAAAAAAATTTTTTTTGCAGACCTGTGTAATTAAAGACTACAGAGAATCTACTGTCAACCAAGGACTTTCCAGAAGTGCTACACCTACCTTCTCTATAGATTTCTTGTTGTTGACAGAATACACTATGCAAATTACATTAGCCTGCAATAAAAACAGACTGTCAGCATCATCCATGTAAACATACACTGGTCATGCATGCTAAGGGAATTATGTGTTATTGGTCATGCTATTTTCTTTAACTTCATTCTTCATTCAACTGCTAGCTAAGCTGGTAACAATTGAAATGTAGCACTAATTAGTGTTGGAATGTGCACCAGGTGGCTCTTGATCTCATATGCTGATCTAGGCAAGGCCATTAGACAAAAGGATAATCACACCTGAAGCCACAAGTGGTAGTCATGGCAACAACCTTACCTTTGATATCTCCTGAAACAACTGTTCATCGGACTGTTCTGCCTCTGCAGAGGATAAATCAGTTTTTAATGGCTGCTACTTTACTGGCACTATTTTCATGCTGTTAATTCAGGGTTAAAAGCGTGGACAGCAGCTGACGGTACCTGAGTAGTCTACTATGTGAGTGGGCACTCTCTCCGGTGTGACATCAGCAGGAATGGTAATCTCTTCTGCACGTAGTGGAACCTGTTCAACAGAAACCAAGGCGAATAAGGCACAGCCAGGGAGATCTGCACTCCGCCTATAAGACGCAATAAAGTGCAACAGCAAAGCTGCATGGAGAAATGATTACAGCACGAGTTAATATAGAGGTTTCCGCTACAGTGAGTTCATTCAGATCTGCCAGCCCGCAACCACAGAACGTGGCGGTATCTTGTGCATTCTGGAAATGAATCTTGTGTAAACAGGAAATGAGCATCAAGACAAGAAAAACTAGCTGGACATTTGAGACCTCCGAGCAAAATTACCGCTACCCATTTTTAAAAATTATATTAAATTCACATTTAATTCTGTGTTTTTTTTCCTGCAAAAAAAAAGTGTGTCTAATAGGGTATTGGCCCTTTGGGAAAATGTAATGATTGTGCCTGTCCATTCTCAATAACCAAAAACCTGCAATAATACAACTGCAGATTGCTGTTAATACAAAAGACGTTGAGTGATGATATTATGCCAAATAAGTTGTCAGTGGGCAGCACTGTGGCCTCACTTGTACAGTCGGCGATTGGCCGCCATGTTTGCAGGGACCAAAAACATGCAGTGAGATGAACTGGTGTCTCAGTGACCTTTACATGTATGTAAGTTTGCATACTGAGATGGACTGACATCCCATCCATGGTGCCACCTGCCTGCTTCCCTACGCTGGTCCAACCCATGACACTGTACTGAAAAATCAGTTGGAAGACAGATGGCAAAAATAATAATAATAATACTAATACTGCTACTAGTAGTAGTAATGATAGTTATAATCATCATCATCTACAACAGTATAGGAAAGAGTTTGATATTGGGGGGATAAAACTTAATTTAAATGCAAATGTCAATTTATTGAAGGGAATTAATGAAGCCAAATTAAATATGGGGGGGTACACATCCTACCCCATCCCCTGTGGTTCCTAAGCCCCCGATGATGATGATAATGATAATAATAATAATAATACCAAAGGTTGAGTCTTCATACCTCATCTGGGAATTCCTCGCTCACCAATGACATGATCAAGGAAGTCTTCCCCACTTTGGCTGTTAAAACAGAATGAGTCCAGCTTAAATCACAGGCACTGCACTGTTGAACAGCTACAGCTGTACCTTTGAAGCTGCCCAGGACACAGGGACACTCGCAGCGGCCTCCTGGCACGACGCATCAATAAACTGGAAAAGCAGCTGCACACCTGCAGGAGCAGTGGGACAGCTGGTGTATGCAGTCACCCACTCGGCCTGTCATATGGCCATCGAGCAGATCCAGTGCAGGAGAATAGCTGCAGCCCACAAGAGGGATTTAACATGAAACCTTCCTCAAAATGGCTTCCAAAGTCGTGTCTGACAATATAAATGACTGTCTCACAATTAATTCTACATCTATTTACTTAGCATATGCTCTTATATCCAGAGTGACGCAAAACTGAAAAAGTGGGATCAGTCAGTCCCCGGAGAAATTGGGGTTAAGGGCCTCGCTAAATACCACTGATATAATTAAAAATTAGAAGTTTATTAAAGCCTAAAAAGTTCGGTTTTTGATATCTATATCAAGAAAATGCTAATTAAAACCATGGCTTAGCCATAGGAGCAAAATGTTGACTGAAGTAATCATACACTGATTTTGCTTCATGTAAGCATGCAACATCTGACTACAGCACTGTAGGGCCAATTTATTATTTTTTTCAGCAGAAAAAAAATATGTAGGCCACTATGCAATGGCACCAAAGCACTGAAGACAAAAATAGTTCCAGCTTCACCAACTGTGAGACAAGAAAATCTCAATGTGAAAAAACATAGGCGGTATCCACAAGTATGATTACATTTCAAATGTTTAACTGCACCCACCAGATGATAACCGCAAACACTGGCAGGTCACGGTAATCGGCTAATACTCTAATACAGTTTCATCTGAGTTTAAAAACTATGATTATTCAACTCATTTTCATCCAAGTAACGATTATTGTTTTTCGTGTAATATGATGACTAAATGCACAAAGTCACTTGGAAGGTTAACTAGTTAAACTCATCCAAAATGCACGTCAGAATTTCTATGTGATGATTGATCGTTTCACCCCCACTCATTGCACCCAGCATAGCAGACATATTTGTCCAGACTCGAAACATGTAGCAACTTACACAGCAGTTTAACACTGAAACGTACTGTTAATCTAACAGTGTTGTAAAACAGAGGCGATTCGCTGCATGTGGTACGGCAGTCATTTAGGACTAGTGACCCGTAGAGATGTAATTACCTAGGGAAACTACTTTATGGTACCTTTCATAGCCAGCTAACTTGCTAATTAAAAGGTTAATATGTTTAACATTGTACTGGCCAGCAAATAACGTGATCCGCACGAATCTGCTAAATTACTAGGCTGACTCTAATAAATAATGTATCTCACTGCTAGGCTTAGATGCAGCTAACGTCCAGGGACATTCGGCTAGCAGGTTAGCATGATACATGATCAGCATCACACAGCGAGTGTGTTCACTGATTAGCTAAGACATTTTCCAGAAACTTCATGCTACAATATTAACTTACGTTCTCCCACAAGTAATATCCTGACGTCCTTCCTCATTGTCCCCGGGTAGGTATTATATGCAGATTAAAAAGCCCAAGTCCGTTTACTCAATGTCATCTAGGACTGTCATGCGGTGCAGGGGTTTAGCCCAGCTAGTATTTAGCCGGCTAAAAAAAAAAACTAAGGCGTGCGGAGGTCACTTCCTCTACACGGCGACAGTAAAGTGTTGGCGCCTTTTACGGTTGTTTTATTTTTGTAATAAAAACTTATCATAATAATATGCCGATTTTACGACTTATAGAGTTACCTATTACAATGCTAATTCAGGTATACTTTACACTAAGCGCTCTTGGCGGCGACATGGGCTATAGCGTGTAAGGTTGTCATGTTTTGACATCAGGCGGTACCTCCCCGCTTGGCGATACGCGCTCGCGCCTCCTCCCACTGACCCCACGTGCATGGAAGGGAAACGCGAAGGGACAAACTTTTCCAAGCCATACGGAGTGCGCGAAACAGCCAGTGTGAAACTGGGTGTTGTAGGCTGGAGATGTAGCCAGAAACCCAGATGAACGAAATCAACATAGGCCTATATTGATTATAATTTAGTTGTGAAATAAACAGGCGACGACATTCCAGGCTTTGGAGCTTTCTTTTGAGTTGTTTAGGCTATACATATCTTTGGACTGTGGGAGGAGAAAACCCGCGTTACCCGGTGAGAACATTTTAACTCTACATAAATTATTAGAAATCCAATTAACGGTACAGTTTATTGAATTAAAAACACGAGATTAAAAACAACCTACTGAATTGTTTGACTAAATGCAAAAAATCACTATTGTTCCCTTCTTTCATTTCCTGTTTTCCCTGAAATAACCAAATTATCTCTGTCGCCCTCAAACTTCTTGCGTTACGTGTTTTGTAGACTACAGCCATTAACCCCAAGACTTATTTCTTAATGTATTATACTGAACGACACCACCTGATCATGTCCTGGACTGACATATTGCAGTTAACTGATTCGTTTCTTTTTTTCCTTGGCAGCTCGAAATAATGTACAGACATCACAGCGTAAGAGTATGTGTTCTTGTCGACAGTTCCCCTAATAGATGATTCTGTTCGACATCCATATATCAGAATTAGTCAGCTGAACAGTTTTCGTCACTTAAATTTTGGCCAGAGTGCCCCAACCGTCACTAAGATTTCGCCATGGTAATCCTACCTAAAACTTTCACATATGACCAAAGCATGATATGATGTTTAATGCTTAAATAAAACTAAATTACACATAGAGTACTGTTAGGACTAACGTACTTATAATAGGCGAAAGCTAAAAGCTGGCTCTTTTATGGATCAATCTTGTTCTGCAAGTTACTGCATTTAACTAGAGTGCTGGACATTTACGAAAGTTAAAACAGTACATCCTGACTCCACATGTGATCTCATTTCATTACCTGCATTTACTGCCGTAAGCTGTACTGTTGTGCATTTAAATAAACTTTGATGATTTGATTTGAAATGAAGACAGTGACCACAGCAAATATGTAGTTTTACCCTTTGTTTTATAAAATGACTATACTGGCAGTATGTATAATATGGCCATATAGTTATCAAATAAATACCATTTGACGGTATCGCTTAATTAGAACATACAATATCATCACCCTAAGTACTTTTTAATCTTGTTTTTCAAAGACACCACTTTTACCTAAGGTCCAGTGAAAGCCAAGCAGTTTCCACGCTGCAACCCATACAACCAGAAAGCAGGCCTCACTGGTTCCTGGAAATGGACCGAGACACTGTGCAGCAGCATGATATCATTATCATGCGTGCTGTAGAAGGACAGCTGTCCATTATCCCTGTCAAGCAAGACTGTGATTCTGCTGGGACGGGCATGGTCCAGATGCTGCTTTGTATTGTTGTGCCAGTAGCTCAGCCTTCGGCTGGTCCATTCCAGACACCAGGAGGCAGCAGTGCGCCCCAAACGGTCATCGCGGCCCAGGCTGGAGTACGCCACACCGATGGCCCAGCCCACGCTGTTAGTGGAATCCACATGCCAGTAGTGTGTGCCACCGGTGAACTCTTGCTCTGCCATGACCTGACAGATTGAGAAGCGGTGCTGCTGTGACTGAGCCAGCCTCTTGGGTCCTCGCACCTCTGCTTTGCGGTTGCCCTCAAAGAATGCCAGATCCCCATGCCCAAGAAGAGGACTGAATGTCAGCCGCTCATAGCCTAGAGGACAGAGTACAGAAAAACTACAGTTTCCATGGGATCCAGGAATTAGAGCACAGAATGGGGAGGGGGCACATTGCCACACATTAAAAATACAAGTTTGAACCCCCCTCAAAATTATCTTCAGCCACCCCCACCCCCATCTATGGAGGGGGACCCTCCAGCTTGTCAATATTTCCCCATGCCCATGGAACCTATTTGTAGGATTGCCAGACCACCCCCCCCCCCCATAAGCCTGGGGGGTCCTATTTGTTACCCTCGTCATTGGAGAGGCAGGTGAGGCAGACACAGAGAAAGGCGCATCTTGCTCTATAACTTAAGAGTCAGATCACTGCTTCTGAACTCCCTCCTTCACAAACACAGAACAAACTTACTGTACAATTCTCGCCTGAGTACAGGGGCTAGTTCCCAGCCTCACACCTTCCCTGAAGCACCTACACCCTCCCCCTTTATAAAGTATGCTACTCGTGCCGGTACTTACATCCCGCAAGCATGTATACCGGGTCTGCCTCTCCCACGGCAGCCTCAGGCATCTCAGACACATTCTGCTCTTCGCTGAATGTCACCGCTGCACTGTTCTCTGAAAATTCGTCATGCCATATTCAACACTGCATCATCAGCAAATACGATGATGACTCCTTATAGAATATTACTTTATAACACACTCTTTTGAAGAAACGCTCCTCTTGTGTTCTTTGCAATATAGTTATAACGTTCTCATGTAAATGTATTAATTTAAATGTGTTTATTTCGCTGACACTTTCGTCCAAAGCAACATAAGAGTGTGTAAAGCTTTGGATCAGAGAGCAAACAAAGCCCCTGAAGAAGTTAAAGTTACGGGTCTTGCACAATGGCTCAGGAGTAATATGCTGGCCATGGAGTTCAAACCCACGACCTACTGGACATGTGGTCAAATCCCTGTCCTATTTAAAATCAAGGGTAACTCTTACAGTCAGCATGGGGTTATGATTTCTGTTTAGGTAGGACAGGATGGCCGAGTTGTCGTTTTGGAGGGAAATGAGAAGTGTTTCATTACCTGAAAATATAAAATATAATGCTAACACGACAGTGTACCTTCTGGTTGTTCTCTGTACACTGGTAAAGTGCTGCCAGTGGGATCCAGTGTGCTTTTTATGTCCTGGACCAGACTCGTACTGGGGACTGATTCCACTGGGACGTCAAGCTTGGTTTCTTGTCCATCACAGGAAATCTGTGGCTATGAAATGGATACAGAACCCTGTTAATTACAGAGGGTCCAAGAACATATGCAAACTTTTTATTCAACAACAAATATTAATCAGCAAAAGAAACAAAAATCAGTCATTCCATTTTCACTTATTCAATTAGAGTCATAGTGATTATGAGAGTATCAGAAATCTCAGGATAAAATGAATTCCGACCATCATGACAGCGCAGCGATATAGCGCCTCTAGCGGCAGATGTTGCGGCTATCCTACACTGTCCTTTAAACTTACTGACCAAGACAAACTTCCACCCATCGGTTTTCTACATTCTTATTCTGGACAAAGCAACCTTATTTACCAGTTTTCCTTACTTTGCATTGACGTTACGATGTTAAAAAAGCTATATATGTACAGTTTATCTATTGTCTATATCTCTATTTAATTGAATTACAAAAACGTAAGTGGAAGAAGAAGTAAACAAAAAACTTACCACACTGTGTTCGTTTTTTGATAAAATATCCTGCCAGTTCTGTCGGCCCAAAACATCTACAATTTTGCAAAGTGTGATGTTTCTCTGTGGTTTGTAATCCGAGCGAAAGGATTCCCTACACTCTGGGCACTTTTTCTCCGCATTTCGTCCAAGATGAGTTGTCAAACATTTTTCACAATAGTTATGTCTACCGCAAAACGATGTCACGGGATCTAGAAAGATCTTCAAGCAAATACAACACTCCAGATGTTTGGCTAAAACCTTGAGCATTTCACACTCCTCGAACGCCATAGCCTCGTAAAGCAGCGATATAAACAGCCGCGAAAACGAAAGTGACGGTGCAGCCGACGGGCTCCTTCTAGTTCCGTCGCAAAACGAAGCGTTAGCGGCGCGCTATTAGGTAAACGCGTATTATGAAAACAGGAAAATACAATAACGCTTTGTAATCTCGCCGGCGGGAGACACGCACAAAATCAATATTCAAATGCCTTCATTAATAAACAAGAGGAAACGCATACTTTTGAACATGTAGTACAAAAAGCGGGTATGCCTGTCAAAATCCACACAATTTTCTCAAAATACTAAAGGAAAATCTTTGCAAAAGTAATTTTATTCTTCATTTTAAATGAATCAGTAAAATGCAACCTGACTGAATACTGAACAAATTAACATTCACATAATTCACTGGAGCTTTATGTGCACTCAGCAAGAGCATTTTCACACCTTTATCAGGGACAGGTAGGCTATACCTAATGCCAAGTATGTCTAGATTATTTTGTGAATAGAAAAAGGGATAAAATCTCTTTGGCAGGTGGGGGCCTGAGTTTGAATGGTCCTAATTTTGGACTTTAATATTGCAAGTAGGCCTACAGACAAGTATATACACGAACTGAGGGTCAGTTTTCTATTATGAATATCAGCACCACAAGTAGAACATAAAGCACCCACGAATGCTACAGAGCGGCTTCAAATGGCACTGATCCAGATCTAATCCCGCTGTGCGACACCATGGAGCGTGCCGCTTCTGAGTGTGCGGAGAGGTAAACCGAGACCAGGTGGGTATCTCCTGCTTCTCCAGTCCTTTACAAAATGCACCTTATTCGAGATTAAAGCCATTTACTGTCATATGTGCAGAGGGTCAGTGGGCTAAGTGTCTGTGGTCAGAAGATCGCCGGTTTGAGCCCCTGCCTCGGCAGACCAGTCACATATCTGTGGCCCATGAGCAAGGCCCTTAATTACCCCCCAACCCCCCAGCTCCAGGAGCGCTGCACATTACCTGACCCAGCACTGTGACCCCCCCAAGCTATGGAGAGCAAGGTGGGGTCGGCAAAGAGAACCAATTCGAGTACATGTACTGGTGTAAATTGCAAATAGAGGATTTATCACTATGAAATTATATTTTTCACTCCAAATGCTGCAAAAAGAAAAGGAAAAACAGAAAACAATATTTCAAATGATTGTGGTTATTGTCTTCACCTCCAACAGCCTTCAACTGCAACAATGCAACATGGAAGAAAAAAAAACACGATGATTCAGTGACAAACTTTTCCTTTATTTTCCTGACATTTTCTTACATGGATAATGTCTTTGCCACATAAATTATGAAATTATTAAAGGTAGAATATAAACATTACAGAATGTAGTAGCCTTTTATATGAAGGGCCTGCTGCAACATAATATTAATATTACAGGTTAATTAACAAATCTAAAGAATCTAAAAATGATGGTGGATAAATAGACTTAATTAGATGGTAAATAATAAAATTCTAAGTCACCCTGTGCATTTGATGAACGTCTGCATAGGTTCATGTGGATATTGCGCCCCCTGCCTTCAGATGGGATATAGCACACTGTATACTAAGACATCTCCACCTTGCCCTCACATATGAAGATAAACTGCTGATCCTGTGTTTCCATGGTTACATCCACACTTCCACTTGTTCCCCTGTGTCCCAGGACTGGTTCTCCTAAAATCAGGATTAAATCTGCTGTACTTATGTTACATTGATATTTGTAGTGTATGTCTTTAAAAAGCTTTACAGTGTTTACATTAAAAATATAATCCTGTAGTAGAAAGACAGAAATAATACTGCTTGAGTGTATTTTAAAGTAAAAACGCAAATTGATTCATTTTTTGCTTGGTTTCCACTTTATATTGCCATGTGGAAAGATTATGACTGTGAACGTAATATGTTTTGTGAACGTAATATGTGTAGTACTTTTAAAGGGTTCATATAAAAGGACTGTAATACAACTGTAATAATTATTCTATTTTTTCATTCACAATGGTTGTGTGTGTTGCTAATGCATAATTACCTAAGTATTGTGCCATTTACTGATTGAAAAGAACTACAAAAAATAACTTTTTTGATGATTCTTCAAAAACCTTTTACATGTAACGCAAGCCGGATGAGGTGTAAAAGGCTTAAATAATACCGTAGCTACACATAATGAACCGAGAGGACTGATAAAATGGGAATAACTAAGAACTGGTCCTTTAAGGTTCAATCTTGCACTGCAAGTTACTGCTTTTAATTAGAATACTGGAAACTTAGTAAAGTTCATGTAGCACCTTGACTCAATTGAAAGGATCAGACAGTGACCACAGCAAAGCTGTATAGTTTCATCCTTTTTTGAAAGAATGAATATTAAATGTATATAGCACTTTTCAAAATACCCAAGGCCCTTTACAAAACCAATGGGGAGCCAAGGACATGGAGGGACAGGAGAAAACTCATCAGTTAGATATAGATGACCAGGAAGCCAGATCTGAAAGGGCCACAACAGGCAACTTCAGCCAAGACATGGGGGTACCACCCCTACTCTGTCACAAGATGCCCAAGGATCCTTTATGACCTCAGGGAATCAAGACTGCGGTTCTACATCACATCTGACAGATGGCATCATTTTTACAGCACGGTGTCCCTGTCACTTACTGCAGCATTGGGATCCACACAGACCACAGGATGGGCTTATCCTCTAGGCCACACCAACATCTCTTCCAGCAGCAACCCATCCAAGTACTGGCCAGGCCCAACCTTGCTTAGCTTCAGGCAAACTAGCGGGTCTGAACAGAATATGATATGGCAGCTGACTAAATAACTCCTTTTATAAAATAACTATAATGACAATGTGTAGGCTTGTATGATCGCAACAGCTACCAAATACCATATAATGTTGTCTCGTAATCAGAACATAGTTTCACCACCACTAAATACTTTTAATCTAGTTTTTCTTTGACACCACTTTTACCTAAAGTCCAGTGAAACCAGGCTGTTTCCACACTGCAACCCATACAACTAAAAGGCAGCCACTGGTTCCTGGAAATGGACCGAGACACTGTGCAGTAGCACGGTACCATGTAAGACAGCTGTCCGTTATCCCTGTCAAGCGAGACTGTGATTCTGCTGGGACGGGCATGGTCCAGATGCTGCTTTGTATCGTTGTGCCAGTAGCTCAGCCTTCGGCTGGTCCATTCCAGACACCAGGAGGCAACAGTGCGCCCCAAACGGTCATCGCGGCCCAGGCTGGAGTTTGTGCCACCGGTGAACTCTCGCTCCGCCATGACCTGACAGATTGAGAAGCACTCCTGCTGATACAGCATCTTGCATTACCGCACCTTCACCCTGCGATTGTCCTCAGAGAAAAGCCAGATCCTCGTGCCCAAAAAGAGAACCGAATTCAGCCACTGAAAACCTACAGCAAAGTACAGAAAAAGAGCAGCTGATTTTCAAATGTCCCGTCAGATTATGGTTAATATATATTGGCTAGACAAAAAATCATTATATAAAACACTATGTTTTCAACTGTTTCCAGTTGTTTTTAATTTGTTTTTAATATCACTTGATTCAATTTTAAAATTATGCATTAAATTATTTCTAGTGGGTCTAGTTTGATTAGTATTATTTGACAAAAGTATTACAATACTTTTACTTAACTGATTAACCTGAATGATGTATCACTTTCCTGGTGTTCTAAGCACTAAATAAAATACATTCTGAAATCTGGAGAGCCTGGTCTCCCCAAGTTCTGGGAACTTGAAAGGACAACACATCATCTAGATGCAGCTGTATGTGTTTTTATACTATATATAACATTTTGCTGTCCATTATACTTCAAAATAAACTTCCAGAGATGGAAAGGTCAGGTTCAGACAGTATTAATTCAGGCCAGGATTTTGCTTCCAACCAGTTGAGTATAAAGAATCACAGTCATGGAGTTACTCAACTGGTTCGCTGAAACAAAATCTTGGTCTGGACTTGTACTTTCTGAACCTGAACTTCCCACCTCTCAAAACATCCATCCATCCACCTTTTATCTGCTTATACGGGAGAAGACAACTTAACCCAGAATGCTGTTTTTTTTTTTTTTTTACAAAATATCCTGCCAGTTCTGTCGGCCCAAAACATCTACAGCTTTGTGAGTGTGATATTTCTCTGTGGTTTGTAACCCGAGCGAAAGGATTCCCTACACTCTGGGCACTTTTTCTCCGCATTTTGTCCAAGATGAGTTTTCAAACATTTTTCAAAATAGTTATGTCACGGGATCTAGAAAGATTTTCAAGCAAATACAACACTCCAGATGTCTGGCTAAAACCTTGAGGATTTCACACTCCTCGAACACCATAGCCTCGTAATGCAACGACATAAACAACCGCGAAAACGAAACTGACGGTGCCGCCAACAGGCTTCTCGTTCTACTTTCTGTTAAGTAAATTCGATTTATAAAACCGCGCAAACAGAATCATCCCATGTTTATCGACACTATGACCTGCGGTAACATGTACAAAATCAATACTGAAAGGAATTCATTAATACCAACAGAAAACACATAGTTTTGGGCATTTAATATAAAAAGCTGACATTCCACTTAAAAATACAAATCTTATTTGAAAATAATGTTATTCTTCATTTTCAAGTGAAATACAACCCAACTGAATACTGAGTAAATCAATATTCACACTGTTCACTGGAGGTTACTCGGAAAGAGCATTTTCAACAGGGACAGGTAGGCTATACCTAATGCCAAGTATGTCTTTATTTCGCAAACAGAAAATGGGATGAAATCTGATAGTGAGGTGGGGGCCTGCATTTGAATGGTCCTCATTGTGGATGTTAGCACTGCAAGCCGGCCTACAGACAAGCATACACTCAAACTGAAGGTCAGTTTTCTTTCATGAATATCAGCACCACAAGTAGAACGTAAGGCATCCATGGATATTACAGAGGGGCTTGAAATGGCACTGATCCAGAACTAATCCTGCTGTGCGACACCATGGAGCGTGCCGCTTCTGAGTGTGCGGAGAGGTAAACCGAGACCAGGTAGGTATTTCTTCCGTCTCCTGTCCTTTACAAATGCACCTTATTTCAAATGACTGTAGTTATCGTCTTCTCCTCAAGCTGGCTTCCGCTGCAATGATGCAACACCGAATTAGAGAACAAAAAAAAACATGATTTATTATTAATTATTATGAACACTGAAGATCAGTTTTTTTTATATGAAAGGCCAGCTACAACAAATTACAAATTATATTACATATTAAGTTAACAAATCTGAGTAAATTTAAGGATGGTGTTTCAACAGCATCAGTAAATCAAATTGCTTCTTTTTTCAACTTATCTACATTGATGCATGCATGGATTCATGTGGAAATTGCGCCCCCTGCCTTCACACGTGATATAGCACACTGTACAATAAGAGTCTCATCCTCCTGGCCGACTCCTAAACCGGCAGCGATTGCGGCTCCTTACTGGCATAGTCCTGGGGAAGCATGGGCCGAGCGATGACCTTCTGGAAGGCCGCGACCCACTCCTTCTGCTCTCGCTCCTGCTCACACATGAAGATGAACTGCCGGTCCGGCGTATCCATGGTCACCCCGCACTTCCACTTGTTCCCGCGCGTGCCTCTGGGTAGGCACTCCTTCACTGAGTAGCCGTGACTCTCTGAGCCGATGAATATGACGCCCAGCTCTACAGCATCCTTCAGCCGTAGACAAACACACATGCACGTGTTAGCATAGCGACACTTAAAGATACTCACAGAGACATGTACTTATCTACATCCTGCCCACACAAAATCAGTGCAAATCTGACAGACATGGTTAACTTCCTTATCGTGCATTTGAGTTTCAAATATAAATGTGAGGAACAAGCAACCGGATTTACTAAAAAAAATAATGCAGAAGATGCTTTAACAATGAAAATTCAGACACACCATTTCAACAATGCTGAAATTCCAATTAACCAGTAAAAGAAAAAAATGCGAAATGCTGACGATTTAACACTGAAAATTCATTTTAATGGAAGTTTATTTCATTTGGCCAGTTCAGTAAGACGGCAATAATCTAAGCTTAGATTAAGGTTACTGCAGAGGTGGCATTACCGTGAAACGGTAAACTGGAGTATAATATTTCCATTGCATTCAAAGGAGGTCACATGCATTCATCTTTTATTTTCATACCAGTGGGGTTTTGAAATAGAGCAGCTTTCTGTCCTTAGAGTTCAGAATGAACCATCTCTTCTTGAACAGCTCCCAGTGCTGTCCAGTAGAAACACAGAAAGGGAAGCAGGCAACAGGAAAAAAAGTAAAGAAACAAGTTTACGTTGAAAGGCTATGCATTAAATACCGGGAGAGGCTGTGCTATGGTGCTATTTATTTGCTATTTAAATCCTATATCCAGTGTAGGGTGGCAGAGAGTCTGGACCTTATTCAAGGCAGACAGGGCACAAGGCAGGGGACACTCAGGATGGGATGCCAGTCCATTACACACCATGGGCAATTTAGAGATGCCAGTTTACCTAACCGCATGTCTTTGAAATGGAGGGGGAAACCAGAGGTGGAAAGTTCGGGTGCTGAAAATACAAATCCAGACCAAGGTTTTGTTTCAACCAACTAGCTGAGTATAAAGCTTCGCAGTCAGAGAGTACTCAACTGATTGGTTGAAACAAAACCTTGGTCTGGATTTGTACTGTCAGCACCTGAACTTTCCACCTCTGCAGGAAACATGGAGTTCCAGTGTGCAAAGGAACATAGAAGTGAGACAGGTAATAGATAAGAAGAATACTGTATAGCTGTCTGGAGCCAACCCAGCTCTAAGTGCTGCTAGCCCAAGCTCCCAGTGATTCAGCAGAAATGGGTACAAGATATCTGAGAAAAAAGCTGTTTAAAAGCCTCACATGTGTAACCAGAATTCTATAATCCTGCCGTTCAGTGGCCAAACTCACAGACAACATACAACCAAAACATCCCAAGATGAGAGAACTACAATATATAAAACCACGCAGTCAAGCAAAGCGCTTTGTAATGAAACGCATCAGCGTTAGTCAGTGAGCCTGCAAGGTACAGTGACCACTGACCATACAGAAATTGGTGAACTACTCACCATCGGTCCAGTTTTCTCCATATAACCTTCTTTTTGGTAACTTCGGGTTAGCAGGGGTACGAGCTTTGAAAAAAAAGAGAAAAAAAGAACTGGGTACAATATCCATCCATTCATTCTCTGTAACCGCTTATCCTCTTCAGGGATGCGGGGGGTCTGGAGTCTGTCCTGGAAGCTAAGGGCGTACAGCAGGAAACAACCCATCGCAGGGCACACACGCGTACCACTCACCCACACACGCGTACCACTCACCCACACTCGCGCACCACTCACCCACACTCGCGCACCCACCAAGGGGCAATTTGGTAATGCCAATCACCCTCAGCATGTTTTTCGGACCGTGGGGGGTAACCGGAGTACTCTGAGGAACATGTGGAGAACATGCAAACTGCACACACATGGAACCCTGGTAGGGACTCGAACCCTGGTCTCAGAGGTGTGAGGAGACAGTGCTAACCACTGCACCACCATGCTGACCCTGTTCACAATATATAATGCAAAAATATATCTGTGCAATTGACCCATGTGCTGGCAAAATAGTATTCGCTTTCCAGAAAAAGGACACGTAATTCTTGTTTTTTTTGTGAAATCACTAAAATCTGTAATTCATATACATTATTCATGCCACTTTACAATATGGCCACCTTTTGCCACTTAATTGTAGTAACAAATTTAGAAGCGACTATTTTAATGGCATTAATAATTGTCCATTAATGATTTTCAAAGTGTTCAGCCTAATTAATGACCTAATTGTCAACCATTCAAAAACCCTTTATAAGGGTAGTCTTACTGTAAAGTGGTGCCGCGTTATTCATGTGTATATTTTTAAATCACAGAGAACAAGAAAACAATATTGAATCAATTTACCAGTTAAGTACCTTAATGGGAAGACATAATCACCATTCATACTGGCAAGGAAACAAACAATCCAAAGCCTTTAATTACATAAGATGACCACAGTAGAGTTGCTTACCTCACTTTCATTGGCTCCAGGAAAGGCCATTTTCAAAAAAGCAAAGCGGGCGGCTCGTATTGCGTTGAACCAGGAAACAATCTCCTAGACAGCGAGGCATTTTTTTTACACAACTGTAAAAGTCACAATCTCTTCCTAACCACTATGACACTATTTCCTGCTTTGCTTGAGGTATTCACTTACCTGCCCATTGTCATGGTACACAAACAAGTTCCTGGTGTGGTCCTCCTGGACGTAGGAGATCTGGAGCCCATGCATGTGACCAATCTTCTCTGGTTGGAAGACGGCATTCAGATCTTTTACAGCAATAACTGCTTTGGGCATCTTGGATTGCTGCGGGTGAAATATGTCTCTCTTCAAAACATTGCACGTTGCCTGTCAGTGATGACTATGAATGGGCATACTCACATCTTCTTTAGTGAAGTACTTCAGGGTGAAGTCCTTCTGAGAGAGGAGGAACCTCCTTTTCAAGAAGTGTTTGTTGTCCTTGCCCTTCTTCCATAACGACCCTTCATAGACTTCTGGAAAAAGAACCCAGGAAAGTCTTATCTACAGGTGCTGATGGACAAAGTCCCTAACATTCACCTTGATGCCAGTTCTGCTTCGAACTTGGTAGACAGATACTGAGGATATAAGAATATCTGAAGGTAAAATATTCATAAGATAATGTGTCACTCAAATTGCACCTGCTTTGGGCTCCTGACACTACATGTAAAACAGTATGAGTCTGAAGAGTCACCTTTTTGGTGTGAAAGCTGCAGCTAACTATACCTACAAATGTCTAGGTGGTAAAACTACATGCCAGACTACTTGGTAGAGGAACCGCAGTTCCTCTAGAACTAATATTTACATTTATTTAGTAGATGCTTTTATCCAAAGCAAAGTGCAGTTAAGAAAGCAGTGCCGGACAGCCCTGGCAGCAATAGGGGTTAAGGGCTTTGCAGTGCCGGCCAGCCCCAGCAGCAATAGGCATTAAGGGCCTTGCAGTGCCGGCCAACCCCAGCAGCAATAGGCATTAAGGGTTTTGCAGTGCCGGCCAGCCCCAGCAGGAATAGAGGTTAAGGGCTTTGCAGTGCCGGCCAGCCCCAGCAGCAATAGGCATTAAGGGCTTTGCAGTGCTGGCCAGCCCCGGCAGTAATAGAGGTTAAGGGCTTTGCAGTGCCGGCCAGCCCCGGCAGTAATAGGCATTAAAAGGGCTTTGCAGTGCCGGCCAGCCCCAGCAGCAATAGACATTAAGGGCTTTGCAGTGCTGGCCAGCCCCGGCAGTAATAGAGGTTAAGGGCTTTGCAGTGCCGGCCAGCCCCAGCAGCAATAGGCATTAAGGGCTTTGCAGTGCTGGCCAGCCCCGGCAGTAATAGAGGTTAAGGGCTTTGCAGTGCCAGCCAGCACCAGCAGCAATAGGCATTAAGGGCTTTGCAGTGCTTGCCAGCCCCGGCAGCAATAGGGGTTAAGGGCTTTNTGCCAGCCCCGGCAGCAATAGGGGTTAAGGGCTTTACAGTGCCGGCCAGCACCAGCAGCAATAGGCATTAAGGGCTTTGCAGTGCCAGCCAGCCCCGGCAGCAATAGGGGTTAAGGGCTTTGCCCAAGGCTACAGTGATGAAATCATTCAGAGAGCCACAGACTTTGAACCTGCAACCTTCCAATCATGGGTTTGGCATCCTATCATGCTAGCCACACTCTGCCCCAATATAAAAAGATCAAAGGGCAGTACGTTCTAAGCCTTTCATTCATACCAAAATAAACACCTGTAAAACAATGGGGGGAAAAAAGCTTAAAAATAAGTAAACTTCATGGACTACACATGGGTATGGTTTCTGGGGACTGGGTTTGTGTACCAGCAGCGTAGGTCCGCTGGAAGGGCGTGCTCTCTGCAGTGAACTCCCTCCGCTCATACTTGGCCCTAATCCACTGCTCTTTCAGAACTCTGAGGTGAAAGAGAGAGAGAAAGAGGGAGGGAAGAAGAGAAGGGATTATTGCTATGGTAATTTCCTCTACCTAAAAAACAATGACAAAAATCTCCAAGTACACATATAAAACAAGTGATGGCTTAAGAAAAATCTATTTAACATTATTGCTAACAACTAATGCAAAATAAGTGCAATTTTTGCATTAAAAACACAATATATTTAAGTAACTTTTCAGCTTTTTACAGGAAACTTTACTGATTCACTTAAACTTGAAATTTTTTCTAGTTTTCGTATATTGAAATTTTAAAGCATAACCACTGTAAAGTGTCCATGGTTGTAAACGAGTCAATGTCTGAATCATTTACTTTTCTGCATATTTTAATAGTGAATTTAATCAGATAATTTTGTTGTAGTAGGTTTTAGTCCAACAGAAAAGCCTGGAGATTCTTTATGTGATTAGTGTGCAGGTGGTGTGCAATCTTACTGTCCCACCCACCAAATGACTCGAGCCAAATAAAGGGATCAAGATAGTTTAGCTCCTTTGGCAAACAATCGGGTCTGATTTGGGCTGGCAATGCCCAGTTTAAATATGAGTAATCCAGGCCCTTAGCGCTGAATGCACATGAGTGAATCATACCATGCCACTATCAAAGGAATTCTTTAAGACTTTAGGGGAAAAAGGTGTTGATGACTAATAGTTTGGAAAACTTCTGGGACTCGACTGAATCAGAGTCAGAAACATTTTGTCCAGAAGTATAAGCTGAAGAGTAAGAAATATTAAAGTTTTCAACTAAGTTGGCCAAAGTCCAGACTAGGCTTGGGTAGTAGCTATTTTTTCATGTCATCATACCTTCCAGATGCTACAGTGCAGTATGTTGTATTTTGACGGTATTTTCAAAAGCAACATTATTTTGAAATCTTGCCAATAAAATTCACCGAGAGGGGAGGACACACACAAAACTTCAAAATACTGCAGTGTATCCTTTTACAAGCCTAGTCTAAACCTAAACCCCACAAAGTGGTATACGTCAAACCAAGCGGGTCATCATAGCTAAACTACAAATGAACAAGTGGTCCAAAAGCTGCGACACCACATAAAGACTGAAGAACGATTACAGAGATTATTCAGTCACACTCACAGATTGCATACAGAGTTTAAGGACCAGGTTATTTATTGCAATTAAGTGTTTCTTTACCAGCATAATCACATAAATAAGACACGTCCCGAGTCAATCAGGTCATTACAGACAAAATATCAAAAATTTTCATAGAATAAAAAAAAAATGAAAGCATGCAGCAAAGCAGATTGGAGGCAAGTACCAACAGAATTAGAGTATTTTATAAATCAAAACTGAAAAAAATAGCTCCATTTTAAAAACAATTTTAAGATTAATAAAATGCTTTGAAGTAAATATAACGGATGGCAACAACACTTGAGATTTTTTTATTTCAGAAATCCCTTCAAATTTAAGAATATAGACTATAAAAAGACAGGTGAAAAACTGCATAGCCTGTAAAAGTTAGTCCGATACATGTTCTTAAACAATTTGAACGCATTTTTGTGTTTCTAGTACAACGAATCAGGCAAAATTTCCTGTTAGGAAATCTGGGTATTTCTCCTTCGTACCAAAAACAATGTGGCTCATTAAGATCCGGGGGGGGGGGGGGGGCTTACTTGGCATTACACTACTTCCCTTATTCTGCGGCTGTGTGTTTCCTTCATTGTCTAACATGCTTCCTTTATCATGTTACGCTGAAGTTAACAAAGTGAGCCATGCCTGAAGATAAGGGAAAGATGTCTGTCGAGTTACATTACTCACGTGCAGTCCTGGTGCTGGGGCGTATAGTAGAAGACTGGGACCGAGGCCTCATAGATGTTTCTGGCTGCAGCATTGCCGTTAGCTTTCATGAACTGCGCAACCAGACGGACAGAAAGTTAACTGAAATATGCCTCTGATTGGCCCATGCTGTCCACTCATACTGGTCTCCCGCTGGCGCAGTGGACAGAAGCTTTGCTCAGCTTTAGATAACAGGGCCTTTCCAGAACATCCCAGAAAGTTGCTCATCAACAATATAAATCCCAGAATGCAATGGCTTGCAGTCACCATAAGACTGCGGTGAAGATGGTTCCGATCAGCAAAATATTTTGGCTGAAACTTTAGTCTGTAGGTCGAGAATCATGGGTGTCGCCACATTTATACTTATAAAGGTGTGTATATTTTGAGAGTTAACATCCAAACAACATACAAAAAGATGCATTTAATTTAATTCCCAATCAAAAGGTTTTCTTGCAGCCACGTTCACAGCACACCAATAACTATATAGGTTTGTACATAGAAGTCCTACAAGCCCCCTGCACATACAGGGGAAGAGGAAGAAACCCAGTGACATTCATAAAGGTAGTAATAATATAGCAACATGCATGACAAATGCTGTGCTTATGTTTCTCCTGCATTGGAAATGCAAGTTCTGCTGATACTTAAATATCTGCAAAGAGAATGACAATGATGTCCTATCGACAGAAATCAAACCATTTAGATATGAGGCACATGTAGAAGTTAAAGGGTTTATCGCTACATTCTTCATTCTTTCTCAAGTAAGTGAGGATACACGATAATGGACAACAGAAATATTCCCTGGGACTGTACATTCATTGGCCGGGTTAAAGCTGTGAACTGTTTTTGTAAGTATTTCTTTAAAAAAAAAATTTTAAAAAACATTTTCACCAGGGTATTTTAAAATCCGGAGTAAATCTGCTGCACTTATCTTTTGGATTGCTTGTGTTGCATTGACATTTACAGTGTTTGCTTGTAAAATGCCTTAAGACTGATTTTCATCTGAGGTTTCATCAACATATTATGAACAGTGCTATTAAAGGGATATTATGAAAAGACAGTAATAGAGTTATAATAGTTGCCCTATTTTGTATTTACAATGGTTGTTTGCACATCATCTATCATTTCAATTTAACTAGTAGAGCAAACGTGTGTACTAAAAACATTAAGCACTAAGACATGTTCTATTTTGATAATTTTGCTCTGTTTTCATAATGCAGTGTGGAGTAAAATGAAACAGAAAGCCACACGGTACTGCAATTTACTGCTATACAATATACATACATCTTCTTTTACATTACTGTGCCATTGTGAAGCCCTGGTATCCTCATTTGTACATCCAACACTTGTTTGACTGTAGCTTGTCAATCAGTGTATGGTGATCGTAAGAGGAACAGAACTTGTTCTTCTGATGAACAAAAAAAGAGGAAACGCATCTTTTTGCATAGAAATACCCACGTAATACATAAAAGTGCAAACGTCATGACGTGTACATCCCCAGCATTGCAGAAAGGGACTATTTGCCACGCCGGATGTTTTGGTTTTGGCTTGTTGTGGGCATGGGATACTGACTGTGGCTGTGACACCCCTGCTAGAAAAGGACCCCACCTGTACCAGGTCATCGTCCCAGTTGTCCAGGCGTATGGATTTGATGCGACTGATGGCAGGCAGGTTGCGGTGGGTCCCGGAGCAGTTCAGACACACGAAAATGCCAAGCTTGAAAGATGCCCAGTCTGGGTCTACCGTGAGATTAAAATGCACAGGTTTTAAAAAAAAAAAACCTTAATTTCCCAAGCAGTAAGTCAATTTTACACAAATATGGTTGGTTATTTGATTATCAGTTACCCACATTTTTTATATCTAACTTCAGGATGAGTATTACCAGCATTATTGGTATTCTAGAGCGATAACATACATACCAAATCAGCCAAAACACATAACTGAAAAACTTTATCTCAGACATGAAGAAATTTCTCAACCTTGCAGATACACAGTAACAAACACAAGTTCATTCTTGCTGTTCAAGTGATATTTGTTGGCTGGCAAGTCTGAAGTTCATTTGAACCTTTTGGAAATTCATCACCTGAAAGAGTCAGTCCTCCACACACCTTTATGATATTCCTGCCTACATCAGAGAAAATCACTCTGCAAGCGGAGTTGTGAAAAAAAGATCTTCTATATCCCAACCTGAGCCACTCCTAATAATAATTACCACAATTAGCTTGAACAACTCAGCCTTTCATCTGTGCATCGCCACTGGAAGCTGCAACTGTCTCACTGCATTAGCATAACCACAGAAAGACAATAAAAATCCTTGATCCTTGGTGTTCTCAAGAACTGTTGGTAACTGATTACCGACTGTGATTATTGTCAGTGATGACCGTACCCTTTCACAGTGACCAATTCTGCAGGTTTCTTCTCTCAATCTCTGCTTTGACCCACCAAGTTCAATACGCTTATACTGATATACCAGACCTCCCCACTGACAGCACAATGTTACCTTCAAGGCCTCAACAGATTTAACCCAATAAAACCACTTGTTTTCATCATGGGGACACCAAAATGACCCCTGTCAAAAGGGCTGAACGTCTCAATATTGTACATTTTTTGCCAACCCATCCTTAGGGGTCTGAAAAGGCCAGCTTTCTTCTAAATCGTTTCAAGAAAGGTTTCACATCAGACGTCTCCACTGTATCTGAACCAACTTCAAATATGTGTATTCCGCTACACAATACTTGGTCACTCGTGTATAACACACGGTTTCTCTTCTCCTACATACATATATTACACTAATTTGACTTTGGCTAAACACGCCTGTCTGTAAGTAGACATATTATTTAATGCAAGCAAATAATTAAGTCACGGCAATTATAAATAAATCTGGTGCACAACCCTATATACAAGTAAAATTCCCACACGATATCCCACACTCACCCGGGGCGCAACAGTCTGCGCATCGGCTGTTGTTGGGAAGTTTCACCAATTCCAGTAAAATATTTTTATTTCGGTCCCAGTTAGCCATAAGTGAAATATAGTCCTTTCATTCGTTAACTAACTTCCTATCGAACAGACTTCGGTCATTGTCATTTTAAGTATATTGAACGCACATCCATATTTTATTATAGTAGTTTTACACATACGTGCTGAAAATAGTCGAATTTGCAAACCGATCAGTTGTATCACAGCCACCAAAGTTTTGCGTGTGACGAGTTCAGAACCGCTTTATCAAAAAGGCTATGTGACCTACGCCAATTACTGTTAAGCACGCCTCTGGTTTAAAAAGAAAGAAACAAACAAGGAAAGGGGAAGTGAAATGCGCGTTGCCAGATATCATATACACATATAGGTAGCATATTTTAGGGAAAACAGTGTGGTTGTACACTATTATTAATAAGTGGGAGAAGAGCACAGCTTTACAACAGTAATTTTTTAGAAAATTAACAAAATATTGCATGTCACAGGAAGGCGATTTCGAAACAAAACTTCGAACTATTGTGTTATTTATATTTTCTGTAGATAATTGGCACTATTTTAGTAAACGAATTTAAACTGCCATATTCGCTTCAGATTTGTTATATAACAGTAATTGTGTGAAGTGGCGGAGGATATTTTATTTGGCTTCAATCAGCTATTAATCTTTAAAAACGCTGCTGGAGAAGAACTCCGTCTGCTTGTTTCATCTAATGTGCGTCGATAGGAAGACCTGCGGAACCAACTTGCCCCGGAACGAATGTTTGATCGTCGTCGTGTGCACATCGGTTAGTTAAAAAAAAGGATGCGTTCAGGCTGAAGTAAATTTGTTTTATACATAAGTGGATATTACTGTCAAGTAGAAAGACAATGTGGGTCGTTCGCTATCTACTGTCTGCCGCAGTTCAAAGAGGTAAATATCGTGTAAACGTATTTATTTAAAAAACATACAAATAGCGAAATTTGGAGACCATACTGATATAATTGGTGCTATGATTGATTGTGTAACAAGTTTATATTCTTGTTGATTCTGGTATTGTATGCTTTTAATTTATTCTTAGGGCACCCTGGTTTATTGCGACGCCCCTTGGGCTCCCTTCCTGAGCGATATCATAGATACCTCCACTGCACGTGTTGCTGGAGTAGCCGCATTTCAATAGCAGACATAGACTCGACAGTGTGTAAGGATGAACCTAAGTCTCTGGATGACTGCTACACCCCGGAGCAGAGGACTGCCATTCTGCAGATTCTCAACTCGGCGTCAGAGGACGAGCTGGCTGGGGTAAAACTCCTGAGAGGTCAAAAAGCAATTAATATAGTGGAGTATAGGAACAGGAATGGGCCATTCAGGGACCTTGAAAGCATTGTAAATGTACCGCTACTGAAGCACAAGACTGCTACGGTTGTGTTCAACTCTATCATCTGTCCCCAAGAGAAAAAAGATAAAAGGAAACCAAGAGTTCAGATTGTCAAGTTCATCAGGCCTGAAGTTGACCGAAGTGCTTTAAAGGTGAATCGTTTACTGTAACTATGTTGACTTAGAACACAACACATCAAACTTATGCTTAATAGTTTGACGTGCATCTTACAGGAGGCCAACTCTATTGTGTCCATCATATGTGGCACCAATAAGATTGCCTGGGCACATGTGGACCGTGCTCTAACTGTGCTGAACTGGCAGCAGGAGGACTGTCCTAATTTTATGCGAGGAGCATACATGGCCTCAGCATACTTGGAAGACGTAAGTAAGACACATGTCTCATACATTGTCATCCATTCATTTTTCATAACCGCCTGTCCAGTTGAGGGTTGCAGTGAGCCTGTCCAGTTGAGGGTTGCAGTGAGCCTGTCCAGTTGAGGGTTGCAGTGAGCCTGTCCCAGACAGCAGAGAGCACTATGTAGGGGACACCCTGGATGGGAAGGTGCTTTCTCACACTTGTGCACACTATGGGCAATTTAGAGACCCCATTTCACCTAATCATATGTATTTGAACTGAGGGAACTGGAGTACCTATAGGAAATCCCATGGAAACTGGGAGAACTGGGGGCTAGTTCAGAAAGTACAATTAAAACTCAATGTAAAAGTTTGTAGAAGGTTAACTCTGATATGGGTTGAGGGACACTGTTACATTTACTGTGATTTTTTATTTATTTTTTTTTTACAACTTCATTTCTTTCTATAGTAACAATTTGTGCCATACCTTGTTTGAGCCCATGGCCCTGGAACATACAGTCTTGCCTCCAATCCTTTTGCTTATCCACTGTCATCTAGTTACTTAGAGATGAATCCGCATTAATGTTAGATTGATGGCATCTTTGTGTGTTGCTCTTCAGGTGACCACAGTGGTCTCGCGAATGCCAGCGGCAGATTTGTTTGTGGTGGAGAAGCCGGGAATCTCACTGCAGAACACCTCCCTGTATTCCGTGATGGCCCACCTGCGCACGGTAGAGGCCATGCTGTTTGCCCTGCTGGGGGCACCAGGAGAACCCGGTGCTACGCCCAAGGTCGTCAACATGATGCGTGTGGCAGTGGGGCGGCACTTTGGGCTGATGGTGGGCGAGGCACGAACAAGTGGGGCGCGGACTGTCCGTGACATGATGACAGACTCGGCCACTCGGAAGGCCCCCCGCGTCACATTCCCCCACGAGCTGCTGGTGCGGTACAGGAACGCCTTCCAGGTGGGAACGCGCAACCGCGGTGAGGAACTATGTGATGCCCTGCTGCAGGCTGTGGCCTTCTATGAGCTACTCAGTGAGTAGGGTGGGAACAAGAACTCATCTCAAGTGCCACTCGGACTCTCTTCCTGCTGTTCCAGTGCTCATGACTTTGCACACATCCTGACTTACATTGGCAGAGAATCCCACACTTTGATCCAGTAATAGACAAGTCACTGCAGTGGAAGACTCAGCATATCAGCAAGCACTTGCTCTGACCCTATGGAGGGGACTAATTTAATATGACATCTTTGAATTACTTTTCAGTCCCATCAGAGCACTTCAGTCTACGTCTAACTGCTCTCGTTTACTTTGGAGTTTATTAAAAATTCTGTTTTAGCAGTCACCATGCTATTAACATCCCTTAGGAAATTCTACTGGTAGTGTGTAGTGCAAATAATGACAATTCTTTGCATGGACTTCCTAGATTCTCTGCAGACTTCTGTTGCTGAAGTTTTGTGCTTTACCGTGTTTTACCCAATATCAAGTCTGGACTTGCCAATAAAGGCCATACCTCATTCTTACAGTGTTCTATACTGGGAAGATTTAAAAACAGTTTACAAAACAAAAAGCATCATAATATGGAATTTATTTGTGTTGGGGGGGGGGGCATTCCACCTTATGAGCTCTCCAAGGCCAAGTTATACATTAAAACAGCAAATAATGATTCAATAGTATATGTACTACAGACTGAATCTAGTGTCTGAAAATGTACCAAACATGATTGTACAGAAACATTCATAACATAAATGTAAATTTATTTCTTTAAAACCTTTTCAAAATCTAAAACATAGTACAAAAATACATGTTGACAAATGGTTAGCTGCTTTAAAATGTACAAACTCACAGCAATGAAACAAGATGTATAAAATATTCTCCTTAAGCTACTACACAGTTTGTGACGGAGCACCAGAGACCTGGAAGATGTATTCCTCTCAGGGGAAATCCTCTGCCAGGTGCTGAACTGTGCTCCTGGGGAGGTTAAGATGAATGCCATCTAGGTAGTGCAAGAACCTAGACAGAGAATTAATAAAACAGCTGAACTTCACACCTCCCATTCCATACACCCTGATGATGAACATCGGCGAGAAAATTGTCATTAGGCAGGTTTCCATCCAAGAGATGTGCAAAAACATTTTAATGCTAAAAAGTGGGCCATGGAAACATTACCGCTAAAATTTTCCAAATGTCAACAAACCTTTTCCATTTATTTTTAGCAGATAAAGTCTTTGTCGACACTTTATATTTAGTGAAACTATGGTAGAAACTTTATATGAGTAAGAGCTGCATTTACGCAAAAGTTCTGACAGGTGACTGGACTTTTATCATGTCTTTCGTACAGCAAACACAAACATGCAAACTGCGTAAATTCAGCAGGGGTACGTCCTCTGTCCTCTTGCTGACACTGAATGTTTCTTCCACTACTCTACAGGAGAAACTTATTTTCCCCGGATATTAACGTCGTCATCGATTAATGCCCTTTTTATTGATAACTTGCTTTATGGAAACGCAGTGATCACAAATTTCACTGAAGTTTTTGACGCACATTTTGTTGTCACTAAGAATATATGCATCAAGTGGATGGAAACCATTATTGTGAAAGTATTAGAGGGATTTGCTGGTTGTCACATATTCCATCTCACTCTCCGAGAAGCAGTCATACATATACACATGAGTGTGTGACCATCTAGAGCCATTTATCTAGGCCCGTAGAGCAGCTATTGGAGTTAAGAACGTTCAAGGGCCCAAGATTAATGCAATTACTCTGCCGACGACCATGGGATTCAAAACAATGACCTTCTGGACATAGCCAGAGTCCTAATCCACAGAGCCACCCCGAAATGTCAACTACCTTTTTTTAAAGAAAACACCTAATAATGATAAGATGTTCTGATTTCAACCTAAGAATCAGATCCCTGACAGAGGAAATGTTTAAGAGAATCTCAACAGTCCAAACTAATTAGTGTGCCCGAGATTAGCTTTTCATAATTTCACATATACCAAAAAAGGTAAAACATGAGGAAGTGGGCATGGGAGTTTGGAGTGGCGACCGCACGGATGGGGAGTGGGGGGGGGCATGAAAACAGAAGGTTCATGTACTGAAGTGCCAAAAAGCAGAAGGGCAGATGCTCACAGCACTGACCATGGAACCCATTGTTATTTTACACTAAGTCACTGAACTGGCGTCTCCAGGCGCCTGAAATGCAGTGCCGAGGTGTACAACATGTCGGCCAAGTTGCAATAGAATCATCAGAAGATATTAACCCACACCTGGCAAATGGTTTTGAATGTTGCTGTCATTCTGGTCAGTAGAAATTATAAAGTAAACAATGAATATACTGTCACCACAGCGACACTGGTTTGACTCGTGCACTTGGTCCGTGCTCGTGTGGCACCATAGCGGCGATCCTCACCTGCGCTTGACTTTCCCCTGCTCCTTTAGCCTCTCCGACCTGCAGATGGTGCGGAGCATGGGCAGGTAATCCATGGCTGCGGCAGGCTTATTACCCAGAATGCCAAACATTCGGCTGGAGACTGCCCTCAGGACCTCAGAGCGCTTCTTGGCCACGCTACAGTAAAAGGGAAGAGAGATTTAAGCCCCCCTCAACATAGTTCTTTACTTTCAGTAAAAAGCAGTTCCTTTTTCAGCAGTCTGGAGCCATAACCCTCTTTAGATCACAACTACCTCCTTCACTACCAACAACTGTCTGATGTTGCTCTACACACGAGGTGTGATTTTTCTCAACCATCAGTTTACTCACCTTGGCTCACAGGATCCGGTGTGACCAAGGCTAAAGCCCCGTCTGTGTGGGGCCACAGGCAAGCTGAGCCTCCCAAAGACCTCCTCCCTCGCCTCCTGCTCTAGCTCCTGGGCGTCCGTCCACACCCGCTCGACTCCTGCCCGGCATTGCTGGAAGCTCACAGCCTCCAACGTGGCCCTGACCTCCGCCATGCTCCTTCCCTCAACACCAACCACAGGCTCTGTTCTTGGTTCATCCGTCAGGCCATTCTTCACACCAGCCTCCGTCCAGCTGAGAGCTCCCCCCCGGATGGTGCTCTCCAGTTCTGTGGGAGCCAGTGCAGAGTCCAGGAAGGACATGTGATCCAGGAATCCAGCCAGGGAGTCTAGACAGCTGGACACTAGTTCATCAGCCTTCTGTTCTGAAGGCGAGCGCTCCGCCCTTGCCCCAGACCTTGAAGACTTCGGAGCCTCTTCTCTGCTAGCCTCTGACTGGGACGTTTCCTCCGAATTTGAAGCTGCCTTTTGAAAGGGCTCACAAAGCGAGAGGAAACCGTCATCAGAGTCCACGTCCGACACAACGGCAACTTGGCCCGAGTGGACCTTCCTCCTCCTGCTGCTCCTGGAGACCTTCACAGGGCTATCGTCACTCAGCAGCTCGTCGACCCACGGGTGCCGTCGGCTCGGCCCTGCCTCCTCTTGTGGCGCTGGATCGGGTACCTCTAGAGGACTGGGGCCACGGCTTCCCAAGGACCCGGTTGGCAGGGGCAGAAGGTGCTCCATGTTGGAGTAAAGGAGATCAACTCCCCTTCCCCAGCTATCTGACAGCACCTCCCAGAATCTTTGGCTCTCTGGTTCAGTAGATGACTTGCACTGTGTAAATAAAAATTCAAGCATGCAAGTTACTCATCTGCTTGGAAAGATCAATACAAGTTCAGACCATGTTCAGTCCTTGAGGATTGAGTCAGCACGAGTAAAATAAGTTTCTGACCAGCCACGAGGAACTCACATCTTTAACTCTACACCAGTGTCACGCTTAATTTCCCAGGAATGAGACGGATTGCCCACCTTGCACAGGTGCTGGAGGTCCAGTGCAGGTTCGATGTTTAAAAGGCCCAGCAGACTTTCGGTGCAGCTGGTGTGACAGGGAGGCAGGTCAGCTGGTGGCTCTACATTCTTGGCCGGTCCCTCTTTATCCACAGCCGAACCAGAATCACTTGGAACTTGAACACAAAGGGGGAAAAAGGTATTCAACTGGGAGGGGGAAATTAAACAGGAAATATGGCAGGAGAGGGAGAAATGCAGCTTTGAACCCAGCACTAGGCAGGATCACCATGTGCTGTCAATCATCTACAGGAACCAATAAAACAGAAGTGAGACTAAACCAAGCGACGACTGAGCGTGGGCGGGGCTTTGGGGCTCATGTCTCCCATCACTAAGCTTTATCCCTCAGCAAAGGCCCTGGCGTAGCCCAAGGGACCAGTACCTGCGCTTTCGGGGGGCGGAGCCAGGAATGGCCGTGGGGCCGGATGCCCCCCACCACTGCGCACCCAGAACTGCAGCTGCAGCAGGCTCTGCCGCACGTCGCAGCCCGTCCAGTGCAGCAGGGAGGACAGGTCGCTGGCGTCGGTCCGCACGTTCTCCGCCAGGCACACCAGCTGCAGGTAGGTTCCAACGTTCACCTGAAACCAACATAAATGGTCGGCAAGTTTTGCCTCGAGGTTTTTCCCCCGTGATTCAATTCCCATACCGCACTGCGCGAGCACATCAGACAACTGACCGCTGATGGAGTTTCGAAATGGATTTCCTCAAACTGTCCATCAAACATGATGTTAAACGTAGGATCTACAAAAAAGAAAATGTTACTATGTTTCAATGTTCCAACTAGCACATTGGGGGGGAAAAAAACAGTGATCAAGTCTAACACCTGCTTACCGCTGGTGGTCAGGATCACCGGCCTCTTGGTTGTAGTCATAAATGTTTTGATAGCAGCAAGGAATCCTGAATCATCTTCAAATATGACATCAACCTAGGCGAACGGCACAGAGTAAAGCTTTACTATGTGGTTAATGTACACTGAATACACCAAGTCACCTTTAGCCTGCCTGTTTTCTTTCTGCTAGTGACATAGGGCAGCAGCACAGCGCCCTCTGCTGGTTACCTCCTCAAACAGAATGAGAGAGGTGGCTGTTTTCTTGCTCTGCTCCTCTGCTGTAGGCTCCGTCTTGGACGCCGCTGGCTTGCTGGACGAAATCCCCTCTTTTGCTTTCCCGGCAACCCGAGCACGAGCATCTGCAGGATAGAGAAGGTGTCTCAATACAACGAGGGGACAGGAGACACCCACCACACGCGCTCTACAAGTCAGGTCACTCACTCCGTGGACACACTGCCTGGCTGTCAGGGTTCTTGCCCTTGGGTCTGGCCATCTTGAAGAAATCGGCCAGTGTGGTGGGAGTCAGACCGCCCCTTTTGGATGCTGCACCCCTGGGGGACTGGGGAGGTTTTCTGGGAGAGGAGACCACCTTTCTGGGAGAGTTCATCTTCCCTGCAAGTGGACAAGAGCAGAAGAGCTGCATTTATGACCATTAAAATCTCTTCCAGCAAAGATAAAAGTAAAATCAGCAAGGGAAACCAAATAAGCCCAGATTAAGAGAAAGACTTGAAGACATGGGAGTCGCAAGCAGACGACGACTCACTCGGGGACGGGCCGCATCTGACGGACCCGGCACTGGAGCTGTTGAAGAAAGACGGCTTGAAGATCCCAGTCCCCTGGATGTCCACCTGGTGGGACTGGGTGGCCTCCTTTAGCTGGGACAGGATCTGACGGCCACTGCGCTGGGAGGAGGCGTTCACTTCAAACACCTGTAAGCACCATCACACGCAGTGAGATTAACGGTCCGTCTGTGCCGATGCCAAAGCCGCTTATTAGCGGATATCCTGCACAGCTGGATGAGTCTGAAGGGCGGAGAGGCCTGTGGTCGACACCTTGAAGCCCAGCTCCTGAGCGCAGGCGTACACCGCCGCCGTCTTGCCCACTCCCGAGGGGCCCGTGATCAGTAGCGTGTTACACAACTGCTCCTCGCCTGGTTCCTCCTCCCCACGGAAGTCGCCGGAGTCCCAGGAGTCTGATGTTTTAAAGAGACAGTCACTGGATTTCCTACGTTTTGCACATTTACGCAGACACACTCCGCATTCGACCCATTCCCCAAAAAGACAGGAGCTCACCGCTGCTATTATCCTCCTGTTTCCTCTCCTTCTGATTCCTCCTCTCCTCCCGGTCCGCCCTCAGCTTCCAGTCCTTTAACCAGCTGATCAGTGACAGAGGCAGGAAACAGTCACATGCATGCTTATTCCTTAACCCAGTGTTTCCCAACACAGTCCACGTTTTTGCTCCCTCCCAGACAGTTTTCTTGCTTCCCACCTCCCGGTAGGGACTGGGTTGGGAAACCCTGCCCTAGTCCATCGGAATGCCAGGAGATTTAAGAGTAATACATTACTCATTACAGGTTTGCTTCCTAAACCACAGCAGTTAACCATGCAATTCAGCTTCTAAACGTTCCAGACAGACTTTGCCAATCGGCTATATGTGATGAAGACAAACAGGATTCTAAAGGCCGCCTCGGTTTCATGGCCCCCACCTGTGCAGTTTTTTTACTGCGGCGGAGTTCCCGATGACCTCGCTGGAGTGCTGCGGCTGGTATTTCTCCGTCCACAGCACATCCTCCTTCACACAGCCTACATGCCGGAGAGAACCACATGACTGATTAATCAGGTGAGTTAGAAGAAAAAAAAAACAGTGAAGATGGGTAGCAGACAAAAGGTTTCAGTCTCCTAAATCAATAAGTACAAGAGCAACAGCAATACCTCCTTTCCCAGAATTCCCTTGTGGTTCTGGTGTATCAAGCACAATTAAAGGGCCATTTTCAGCAGGTGTGTTTCCATCATCCTTCCTCTGCCGCTGAGCTCGACTCGGCCGGCTTCTCCCCGGCAGCTCTGAGGACGCCCCAGCGGGGGGGCTGTCCTCAATCACGATGGGCTGCCCCCGGCTGGACCGCCGCCGCTTGGACAGCCCCTCTCCACCTTCTTCCTCCACCCTGTGCTTCCTCTTCTTGCCGGCGGCCTTGGAGGGAGCGGGAACACTGGGAGCGGTCGGGCTTTCGTCCGAGTCTAAAGAGCACAGTCAGAGTTTACCTGATTTTATCTATGGGTCTGCTGAAAAATAAAAGATCGTTTGAGTGCAGACAAGATTTAGTAATATTGCACAAAAGAAAAAGAAGAAAATAAGGGCCCTCATGATTAATTGTCCATTACACCTCCCAGCCACTGGGGGCACCATAAATTCACCTGAGGCCATGCACTGTAGCAGATGGTCGGCACGCTTTTTCAGGAACCAGGTAAAGAACCTCCGCACTGGGAATAGAGGGTTGGACGCCCTGACTTCCTCGAGCAGACATCTGCGGACCTGCTCTGACAAATCCTCCCTCCAGCCGGGGCCCTGGAATACGGGGCCAATCATTAAAACCAGATGCCACCGACAGCAACCCTCCACTGAGCACACCAGTGAAATCCAGTGTTTTAAGATGTCATAATCTAGGTTTGCCCATACAAAAACTAAACCACATATATACACACAACAGAAGGGTCCCCCTATAGAACAGAGATGAGCCTCACCTGGTCTTTGTGGGCTCTCAGCGCAGGCAGGGTCTTGGTGGAACCAAGCTGTCCAAGCGACAGAACGGGTTTGGGGGGCTCCAGACAACATGTTTCTAGGTGTTTTAACAATGCTGACCCAGGCCACGGCAGACTCCAAATCGCACAATCTAAGGCAGGGTCAATGGGAAGCAGAAGACATTTATAGGTGTTCTGCAGGCACAGCACTGAGTCTGACTGGTGACGTTCCCCAGTGTTCCGGCTCACCCTGAGGCTTCTGCCGCACGTGGACCACGGCCTGGAATGAGGCGCAGGCTGCAGAGTAGGCGTCCCGACTGGCTGCACTCCTAGCGATCTGCTTCTTGAAGGAGTCAGGGAGGCCACTCTTCAGGAACTCCCTGCGGGCTTTGAACTGCTCGTCGTCCTGCGAGTTCTCCGAGCCTTCTCGACTGCGGGGATCAGGTAGGGAATGGTAGGGGGTTGCGAGACAAATCGGGTGGGGGGCACAAAGCCAATCATCAGACAAAGCCAATCATAGCTAAAAAGAGTAGATAAGCACAAATATGTTTACAGACTGCGCAGATTAAGGTTAAAACATCTTACTGAAGAAGCGTTTTGCATTCTTAGGAAGCAAGCGAGAACGTTCATCATTTACCTGCTATCGTCAAAAATTGAGATGACCGCCGAGGGCTTCTGTCCTTTTTTCATGAGAAATACGGGCGCCACCTTGGAAGCTTCCAAAGGAAAAGCAACTTGGTTACTTATACATAAATGGTACAATACATTTACTGAACATTAGAAGAGATATTAAATGCAGCAGGAATCCAGTACCTGCACTGCCCCGAGCCTCCTTGCCACCGGGGGCAGCCTTTCCCAGCACTTCATTCACAGCACGCAGCCGTTTTTCACCTTCGGCCTTCGCATTGGCAGCCGGGACGGGCTCCTCCTCATCGCCTTCCAGACACACCACGGAGTCCTGGCAACACAAAGAGCGGCATCACATATTCCTAAGGTAGCTATTTTTAAAATATTTATTAGTGCTGCATTTAATAAACCGGTTTTCATCAAATCATCAGGACCTGCTAAAGGAAAAGTATTCACAGGCCCAGAGTGCTGCCGTCTTGGTAATACTGCTCCTCACCCTTCCAGTGGTTGTGAGGAGGTGTGGTTTGTAAGTGTCATAGTTTACATACCTCATCCTCACAGTAGGTGGTCTTCAGGTCCCGATTTCTCAGGGAGCGCCGTACGGAGCCTTTGCTGTCCACCTTCTTTTTATTCTGCTGGAGAGCTCGAGCTTTCTGGAGTAGCTTTCTGGCCTGTTTTCTGCTCTTGGATGCACCAGCCTTTCAAATTAACAAGGCAGTCAATAAGTGGAGCATTTCATGGTTTTATAAACAATTTATCTGCATAAAAAAAAAAAAAATTACTACCTTAGTAGCTGCAGGACTTAATATTTCACAGTCACTTCCATCAGCAGATTTAGGTTCAGACTCCATGAACACACGCTGGATTCTCATCCTGAAAGCAGCAATTACAAATGACAATATGCTTATGAAAAAGCAGAACAAGTGTGTGAATATCTTATTTACTTTCTATGCAGGGATCCTCAATATATAGAGCTGGATATTGTACTAAAGACACTTTAAGAAAACGGCAAAGCTTCAAGTTACAACCCTGTCCTTGGCAATCATCATGCCAGCTCTTACTCAGCTCAGAAATGTCCATGACATAATAATGAAAAAGCAGAGTCAGGCTCACCTGATGGGGCTTCCCTGGTCATCTGGAGGGGAGAGCATCTCGGCCCTGTACACATTGCGAATGAGCCGTTGTGTCTTAGGCGTGACCGCTGGTGAAGAGTCCCCCTGAGAGGCTTTCTCAGGCAGCCGCTGCTCTTGTAGTCTCTCTCGGCTCCTGGTTATGGGAGCATGTATGGTTACCTTCTGCTCTGGGGTCATTTGCTGGGGACGGCCCCTGGTGGACCTTCGCATCGGTGTGGTCCCAGCAGGTGTGTTACTGCCATCGCCAGCTGGGTCGAGCCGATTGTCCTTTTGCTCAGTTCCCACCGATGGCTTCTCCTCTAGAGCTGGGACAGGTGAAGGTTCTTCTGCGTTCTTCTTGCCTGCTCTCCTGAGCCTGCTGGCTCCCTTCCTCCCCGACCTACTTGGCTTCTCATCTCCCAGAGGCTTGGACATAGATGTTTGGCCTTCTTCCTCATTTGTAGCCTCCACACTGGTTGGTGGTTCTTCCTGGACCTCAGCAACTCTTTCCACTGCTGTCTCCTGTCTGCCAGGACCCTTTTTGGGTTTGCTGGTTTTGCCGGTTTCTTGGCCAGGCTGCCTAAAGGCATTCATGAACTGCTTTCTTTCAGCCTGACTGCATTTGGAGGTGGCACCAGACTCAATGACAGCCAGCTCCAGATCCTCCTCACGTAGGACCACATTGGACTTCCGCCTGGGAGCTGGAAGGGATTCACACTTTTCCTGTGGGGAGCTTGAACCTTCCACCTTCCTCTTATCATGCTCTAGTGTCTGCCTCCTATTGAATATGGATGCCAACCTCTTCTTGGTGTTCATCACCAGCTCGGGTGCATTGGAGACAGGGTGGACTTCTGCCTGAATTGTAAGGGTACGTGGGGACACTTGTTGCGGATCGCCCTGAGCAGAAGCAGCCACAGACTGCACCTGTGCATCTTTTTCAGTGTCCTTAGGACTGGCAACATCCTCTTCAATTTGACTCTGAAGGAAGTCCTCAAACGAGATTGTAATGGTTCCACCATTCAGACCAGCAGTGTTATCCACCTCCGTGTTGACGTCACATGACCTTGGAGACTGATCCCCAGCTTCTCCATCACCTCCGGTCCCCCCATTGCTCATCTTACCACATTCCTCCTGGGACTCCAAAGAGCAGCCTGAACTGCCCCTCAGTTTCTTCTTCACCGAGGGCCTTCTTCTAGTAGTCTCTTGGAGGCATTTTTTGGGATGCGCATCAGTCGCTGCTGAGCTCTCCATGGGGGGGCTCTTTTCTCCACCAAAGGCCTCCGTGCTGACCTGAGCCAGGAGGGCCGCAGTCTCGCTGCCCAGGAGGACCGGAGCCGTCCCTGCTTCATCCAGCGGCGCCGTCCCGATGTTGGAACAGCTGGATTCCGAAAGTGCGATGACCTCCACGAAGTCGCCCTGAGCCTGTCTGCTGAAAGCAAGCGCCTTGCCTGGCTTCCTACTCTTCCTGAGCCTCTGGGCCTTGGCTGGCCTTGTTGGGGTTTCTGTGTGGCTGGTAGCCTCCCGCTGGTTCTGCCCATTCTCTTTGCTCTGCTCGGACATGCTGCTCTTCTCCAAAGCAGGTGGGGTCTTTTTGAAATAATCTGTTATGCAGTTGGACTTGGGGGGTGAGAACACCTTCTCTGTAGTCTTTGGCATGGGCTGAAAGTAGTTAGTAATTGGTTTAACGGAAGTAATATCCCCATCTTTTCTTTGTTTCTTGCAGGGCTGTTAAAATCAAAGCAAGGAGATTCTGAGAAATGTTTTTCATTTGTTGTAAGAAAACATTCTTTTAAAAAGCTAACGTGTTTGGAAGAATATCCCAATGCTTTATAAAACAATACATTTTTTAAAGAATTTGAAAACAAAACGCAAAAAGTAGAAACCATATCGCAGTGTCAAAAATGCCGAAGGAGTACCTGCGTGTCAAAATCTTCAATTACAGACGCCATAGCGACGGCCCCAGCCATACCGCTTCTGAAACACACCCCAGAATAAATGATAAATGTTAATGAATTCTGCTGGAAAGAAAAAAAAACACCTTAGACCCCAAAAAAATAACTTCACTGCTTGTACATAAATATTCAATACGTTAACAAGCGCATATTCCGATTGTTTGTTTACTACTACGGATGCAATCATGCCAGCATCAAGTTTACAAAGCAGACCAGCATTAACTGTATTAATAGACGTGCGTCTGAAAGGGAAAAGTAAGTGTGAGGTTATGGAAGGAAAACATTAGACTTACCAATTTTGCAGAGGGAATGTAAGTGCTATGACAGCTACACGGTAAGAAACCGAACTGTATCAGCTATACATTTTCATTTCCTAAAGACAGCAAAGAACCAAGTCACAACCTTTTAGCCGCCTATTGTTATACGACTAACCTTCAGGTAACATGCGGACTAACCAAATATTTAGCAAGCTGGCAGGCAAGAAATTGCTTGGCTCATACTGCACAATGTCGCCGGCTAAATCCAAAATTCATTATAAAAACATAAATAAGCAACTGCTCACGGACAGTAGTCCAGACTGGCGCGTTAGCTATAGCTGACAGAAAAGAACCGGCTAAACAAGACGTGTAGGTGTAATCAACTCGACAGACAATGCGCACTAAAACATGTCCTCACGTGAAATATACCCATTTACAGAAAGATAAGAGATTTTAGAAAAACGATATTTCAAACGCAATTCAAAAAGAGCGCCTAATACTACCGCTCTCTAGTATCTACTCGCACAAATGGCGCCAAATACCGGTGACCTTTGGCTCAGCGGGCTCCGCCAATCAGCGATCCGCACTACCGTGAGGTCATAGGCATGCTGTAAGGTTACTTTAAAAACACGTCCAGTTTCTCTAAATTGTTCCGTGTCGTTAGCGGTTTTGTCGATCTGTNTTTTTGGGGGGAGTAACTCAGTATTGTAATATATTACATTTAAAAGTAACTTTCCCCAACACTGGTTGTGAGGAGGTGTGGTTTGTAAGTGTCATAGTTTACATACCTCATCCTCACAGTAGGTGGTCTTCAGGTCCCGATTTCTCAGGGAGCGCCGTACGGAGCCTTTGCTGTCCACCTTCTTTTTATTCTGCTGGAGAGCTCGAGCTTTCTGGAGTAGCTTTCTGGCCTGTTTTCTGCTCTTGGATGCACCAGCCTTTCAAATTAACAAGGCAGTCAATAAGTGGAGCATTTCATGGTTTTATAAACAATTTATCTGCATAAAAAAAAAAAAAATTACTACCTTAGTAGCTGCAGGACTTAATATTTCACAGTCACTTCCATCAGCAGATTTAGGTTCAGACTCCATGAACACACGCTGGATTCTCATCCTGAAAGCAGCAATTACAAATGACAATATGCTTATGAAAAAGCAGAACAAGTGTGTGAATATCTTATTTACTTTCTATGCAGGGATCCTCAATATATAGAGCTGGATATTGTACTAAAGACACTTTAAGAAAACGGCAAAGCTTCAAGTTACAACCCTGTCCTTGGCAATCATCATGCCAGCTCTTACTCAGCTCAGAAATGTCCATGACATAATAATGAAAAAGCAGAGTCAGGCTCACCTGATGGGGCTTCCCTGGTCATCTGGAGGGGAGAGCATCTCGGCCCTGTACACATTGCGAATGAGCCGTTGTGTCTTAGGCGTGACCGCTGGTGAAGAGTCCCCCTGAGAGGCTTTCTCAGGCAGCCGCTGCTCTTGTAGTCTCTCTCGGCTCCTGGTTATGGGAGCATGTATGGTTACCTTCTGCTCTGGGGTCATTTGCTGGGGACGGCCCCTGGTGGACCTTCGCATCGGTGTGGTCCCAGCAGGTGTGTTACTGCCATCGCCAGCTGGGTCGAGCCGATTGTCCTTTTGCTCAGTTCCCACCGATGGCTTCTCCTCTAGAGCTGGGACAGGTGAAGGTTCTTCTGCGTTCTTCTTGCCTGCTCTCCTGAGCCTGCTGGCTCCCTTCCTCCCCGACCTACTTGGCTTCTCATCTCCCAGAGGCTTGGACATAGATGTTTGGCCTTCTTCCTCATTTGTAGCCTCCACACTGGTTGGTGGTTCTTCCTGGACCTCAGCAACTCTTTCCACTGCTGTCTCCTGTCTGCCAGGACCCTTTTTGGGTTTGCTGGTTTTGCCGGTTTCTTGGCCAGGCTGCCTAAAGGCATTCATGAACTGCTTTCTTTCAGCCTGACTGCATTTGGAGGTGGCACCAGACTCAATGACAGCCAGCTCCAGATCCTCCTCACGTAGGACCACATTGGACTTCCGCCTGGGAGCTGGAAGGGATTCACACTTTTCCTGTGGGGAGCTTGAACCTTCCACCTTCCTCTTATCATGCTCTAGTGTCTGCCTCCTATTGAATATGGATGCCAACCTCTTCTTGGTGTTCATCACCAGCTCGGGTGCATTGGAGACAGGGTGGACTTCTGCCTGAATTGTAAGGGTACGTGGGGACACTTGTTGCGGATCGCCCTGAGCAGAAGCAGCCACAGACTGCACCTGTGCATCTTTTTCAGTGTCCTTAGGACTGGCAACATCCTCTTCAATTTGACTCTGAAGGAAGTCCTCAAACGAGATTGTAATGGTTCCACCATTCAGACCAGCAGTGTTATCCACCTCCGTGTTGACGTCACATGACCTTGGAGACTGATCCCCAGCTTCTCCATCACCTCCGGTCCCCCCATTGCTCATCTTACCACATTCCTCCTGGGACTCCAAAGAGCAGCCTGAACTGCCCCTCAGTTTCTTCTTCACCGAGGGCCTTCTTCTAGTAGTCTCTTGGAGGCATTTTTTGGGATGCGCATCAGTCGCTGCTGAGCTCTCCATGGGGGGGCTCTTTTCTCCACCAAAGGCCTCCGTGCTGACCTGAGCCAGGAGGGCCGCAGTCTCGCTGCCCAGGAGGACCGGAGCCGTCCCTGCTTCATCCAGCGGCGCCGTCCCGATGTTGGAACAGCTGGATTCCGAAAGTGCGATGACCTCCACGAAGTCGCCCTGAGCCTGTCTGCTGAAAGCAAGCGCCTTGCCTGGCTTCCTACTCTTCCTGAGCCTCTGGGCCTTGGCTGGCCTTGTTGGGGTTTCTGTGTGGCTGGTAGCCTCCCGCTGGTTCTGCCCATTCTCTTTGCTCTGCTCGGACATGCTGCTCTTCTCCAAAGCAGGTGGGGTCTTTTTGAAATAATCTGTTATGCAGTTGGACTTGGGGGGTGAGAACACCTTCTCTGTAGTCTTTGGCATGGGCTGAAAGTAGTTAGTAATTGGTTTAACAGAAGTAATATCCCCATCTTTTCTTTGTTTCTTGCAGGGCTGTTAAAATCAAAGCAAGGAGATTCTGAGAAATGTTTTTCATTTGTTGTAAGAAAACATTCTTTTAAAAAGCTAACGTGTTTGGAAGAATATCCCAATGCTTTATAAAACAATACATTTTTTAAAGAATTTGAAAACAAAACGCAAAAAGTAGAAACCATATCGCAGTGTCAAAAATGCCGAAGGAGTACCTGCGTGTCAAAATCTTCAATTACAGACGCCATAGCGACGGCCCCAGCCATACCGCTTCTGAAACACACCCCAGAATAAATGATAAATGTTAATGAATTCTGCTGGAAAGAAAAAAAAACACCTTAGACCCCAAAAAAATAACTTCACTGCTTGTACATAAATATTCAATACGTTAACAAGCGCATATTCCGATTGTTTGTTTACTACTACGGATGCAATCATGCCAGCATCAAGTTTACAAAGCAGACCAGCATTAACTGTATTAGTAGACGTGCGTCTGAAAGGGAAAAGTAAGTGTGAGGTTATGGAAGGAAAACATTAGACTTACCAATTTTGCAGAGGGAATGTAAGTGCTATGACAGCTACACGGTAAGAAACCGAACTGTATCAGCTATACATTTTCATTTCCTAAAGACAGCAAAGAACCAAGTCACAACCTTTTAGCCGCCTATTGTTATACGACTAACCTTCAGGTAACATGCGGACTAACCAAATATTTAGCAAGCTGGCAGGCAAGAAATTGCTTGGCTCATACTGCACAATGTCGCCGGCTAAATCCAAAATTCATTATAAAAACATAAATAAGCAACTGCTCACGGACAGTAGTCCAGACTGGCGCGTTAGCTATAGCTGACAGAAAAGAACCGGCTAAACAAGACGTGTAGGTGTAATCAACTCGACAGACAATGCGCACTAAAACATGTCCTCACGTGAAATATACCCATTTACAGAAAGATAAGAGATTTTAGAAAAACGATATTTCAAACGCAATTCAAAAAGAGCGCCTAATACTACCGCTCTCTAGTATCTACTCGCACAAATGGCGCCAAATACCGGTGACCTTTGGCTCAGCGGGCTCCGCCAATCAGCGATCCGCACTACCGTGAGGTCATAGGCATGCTGTAAGGTTACTTTAAAAACACGTCCAGTTTCTCTAAATTGTTCCGTGTCGTTAGCGGTTTTGTCGATCTGTTTTCCCAAGTTAAAGAGTTTTTTTTTTTTTTTGTAAATCTACGTCTTGAGTCATTGATTAAAGAAATTGTGAGCGATCAGATCGTACCTTTGGGTATAAACATTCCCAGGGCCTTGTTTTCACCCATGTAGCATTCAAAACCGGAACTGCAGTCCGCCCATTGCTTGTTTTGGTGGAATATCATCAGTAATATTTATGGTATATATATATGGTTATTCATCTATCCATGATTCTTCTAACTGTTTACCCTGGTTGCGGTCGCGGGTAGCAGGGCGTGCACCCTGGATGGGATATCAATAAATTGGTTAATGATTTAAATATCGTATATTTTCAGGTTTGTTTATGCTTAATCAAAAGGTGTCGCTAAAAGCATATGCATGTCCCTGACAGGCTCCAAAATACGCAGTATGTAATCAGCCCAGCTGCATCATAACGTCTTACCTGTCCATCAAAATCGGAAAATTTATATTATTCAATATCGTGACTTTTTAGATGATGCTGCCTGCCGCATATATTTAGTTAATTTACTGATGGTTAAGAATAAGTTTTGATTGTTGTTATGGTAAACTGGATTCTTCCCGTAATTTTGTAATCATAATTTTGTAATCATTTATTTATCAATCGCATTTAATAAAAGTCCAAAACATATTTCATAACATACTGCTTTGAGTTGTGTTATATTTTATCTTTTTTGTAATGTGTGAAGTTCTTCAACACTTCTCCAGCCTGCAAGGACAGTTGTCGTAAAGGTCCACGCCCCTGATTTATGTGCCTAATTCTGATTGGCTGGGTCGGCAGGGACGCCACGCGAAGACCCGTGGGCGTTCATACGATTGGGTGTCGCTGAAGTTGAGCGACAGTTGTGGTTTAGCGATGAAGTACAACATTTGGACTAGGAGGGGACCACGACTTCTAACGCTTTAAAACTCGCAGCATGTATTGGGACTGAGTTCGCCCCAGGTAATTGTACGCTTAAAATAATATAATTTCATAAGTAGATCTTTGAAATGAAATAGCATATTATGTATACGTTTTGTGAAAATCCTCGGATCATCTAAAAGGAAACTTTTGCAATGGTGATGATACCTAGTTGTAATCGGATGGTACCTACCAGTGGTTAGATGAAGCTCGCTATCTAAGCAGTCAAACGGATTCCTAATTGTAAAAAGTAAGTGTACAGTTGTTTGTTTTCTCGGCAAGCTGAGGTACATCACGTGCGACGTAGGGACGTTCCTTTAGGTTCATTTTTTCACGGGTATGGGCATGTTCGAAGTTGAGCAAAACATCTAGATAGAGCCTGCATTTAGCTAGCCAAAAACCCCTAGAAGGACAGAATGGCGAACACCCCTAGGTTTACGGAGAAACAGGTACTACATGCTGTCGGACTTAAGATGAATTTGTACATATGTATGCTGTATTCTGATTAATTTAGGCAAGTTTTAAATCTCTGGATTTTTCGATGTGGCGTTTTTCAGATGCGTAGGCACAAGTGGTTAATGTACAGTATGTAAGGTTACAAACAAATTCTTTGAAAAATTACAAAGGTCCAGTTTATGAATGCATATGTATCCACTGCATGCTACAACATCTGTACGATTTCACCTATGTCCAGCATTATCTTAATATCTGTAAAAACCTCTCTTTCACTATCACAAAGTTTCGTCGTTGGAAAAACAACCCATTCTTGCCATGATTAGATAATCTCGACGATAGCTTCCGTCTTGCACACACGCGCTGTCATCGATGGTCATTTCTTGCGCTTCGCAAGATTTCTGTCATTTAACAACTGTCTAACTTTGCTTTTAGTCTCTTCAAAACTAGGTATTACTAGACGGCATGATGAGTCCTGATGAGAGCAAGGTCATTTAAATGTAGTTATTATTATTCATGTTGGGATAATAAAACGACGAAGTCAACGAAGACTCATTAAATTAACGCAGTTGCTGTGCAGTGAGGGTAGAATACCGTGTTGTTTTATAGCCATTTAAGATACTGTTGTGGTCTGGTAGCATGTTCTCTAGATGCTGCAAGTGTTTTTACTGGATTTTTCTGCTCAGCATGTAATTACTGTCTTCTGTAATCCTGCCGTTTGAAATGATTGTGATGTATATGCAGAATGGGAACCATTTTGGATGAGTGGGTAAATGGTAGACCACTTTATTCAATACATTATTACACTTAACATCTTAACACATAACTGGTGTTTGATTTAATTATTGTGCCTTGTGACGGTTTTCTCTTAGATGTTTGCTCCTCCTAACTCTTACTCTCAAATCCTCTTTTAGTGTTAGAGTACCGCAGTTCATTTGCCTTATTTAATAAATCAAAAATTAGTTTTTTTTTTAGCCTTGTCGAAATGTGATTATAGTCACACAAAATTAATCCCATTAGGCTAAGAGTTCGTGCTCTAAGTTAGCAGCAGTATATCCCAGTAATGCATGTCTAAAAAGCAGAGTTCATTACTTTGTCTCTCGGTATGTAACTTGCTTTGTGCTCTTTGCGCACCCCCTAAATGTAATATTTGTACAATTATAAAGACTGCTTTGTACTGTAAAGCATTCGGGTAAGAAAATCTGTGCCTGGCACAGCCAAAGATAGCTTTGGGCATGTAGTGCCTTTGTACATAAAGTCACCTCCTGTGTCCAAGGTCTCGTTTGCCGGCGAGCCACGATATGCGCTGTGGCAGCCATGAGACGGGACTGCTCTGGTGCCCTGCGCCGGCTGGCATGTGCCACCCACCCCCCAGCGGCACGCGGTTCGGGAGCAGGGAGGACTGACGTCGCTGCTTTGAAGATGTTGATGATAACACTGGGTGGGGGGGGATTCCTTGGGACAAAAAGCAGTGGAACTGTTCTCTGACCGTAGTTAGACTGATATCTCAGTCACCCGTGTTGGGGGGAGGGGGGGCAAGGATTCACCCTAGCTTTCTGTGTGTCAGGCGCTGCACTAAATCTAGCTTATTTCACCATTTCACAAGTGACCTCATTCCTCCACAGTAACAAGGGTTCTGCAGGATGGCTACGCCTGGTATAGAACTGGCAACTGCTAAACCAGAGTGCAAGCCTTGCTTATCCTTTTAAAAACAAGGGAGTAATTTTATGGTTGACGGGTGATTGTTGGCCCAGGTCAGGTGACTGGCATCTATACTCTATCAAACTTTTTTCTTTTCTTTTTATTTTTGGCACCAAAATATATGATTAAGCTCTACAGAGATATTGCTGTTCTGATGCTATTATTTGGGGTCTAACCTGACTGGTTTGGCTGGGAACACATAGATTGGGGCAGGTGCCTCTGGGGCAGATCTTACCACCCTTCATCATGTGCCCCATGGGATTTTGCAGGGCTAGTGCAGAAAGGCATAAATGCTTGTGGTTTATGTGTAAAAATTCAAGTTATGCTTGCTGGTTCAGTAGGTGGCTACGTGCCAGACTCATTGTTGCCGTGTTTTGAGCAGAATGATGCTTACATTCATTTCTGAGAGCCTGGAGTGGCGGCTAATCCATCAGGCCCCATGGACTCGCTCACAGAGTAATGGGAGGGTCTGAGGCTGGCGAACCAGCTTAGTCTGCCACAGGCGCAATGCTGTCCGGAAGCGTCCAGAAGCTTCCGGAAGTGGTTTCGGTGTTTTTCGGCTCAGACTGTCAGCTCTTCCTGCCACTTGCTGCCTTGTAAGGTAATTGTGAAAGTCTGCCACAGTGTTCAGACCACGTTTCTCACACTCTTTTCTCTTTTTAAAAATCCTTTTATGTGTTTGTTGCATGATTTTCCATGTTTCAATTTAAAGGCACCCTTAATTTAACTGCTAGCTGAGCCGTACGGGTGGGGATCATTTTAGCATACAAGGGGTTCGCATTGGGCCTGTGAGCCATTGGGGCATGAGCTGGGGGTTCCGCTGACCCCCCCCCCAGTGTGAATCATACTGAAGGCCGTGTACTGACTGAGAAGTGTATGTGTCGTGTGCAGCGAACCTAACGCATGAAGAGAGAGCAGCTAGAAAATGGTGAAATGGAATCGTGTTCTGCTGTCGTTAAAATGCTGCAACAAAGCAGGTGGTTCCCAATAGAAACCGTGTACGCATTTTACAGATACTCTCTGTGCGGAAAAAACAGACGACAGCCAAATTAGGGGTGTGTCGTCACTGTTCGTCATTGATTTGAGGTTTTTATTGCCGTTATGGGGGCAGTTTTAATGCACTGAGGTACAGACAAGCATTTAGGCAGAAGTTTTACTTGTGCTCTGCGGTCATCTGGGGAGACGTCTGCAAGATTTAGACGCTTGCTCCCGGGTGCATTTCCCGAACAACGCCAGAGGTTAGTATTAACAATACATCATAGTATGTTTGTTCGAACCAACTAACATCCGAAGTACGAATGTTTCCCAAAACCACTGTACTTTGTTAGTACCACAGTAGTTTGAACTACAGTGGCTCCAGCAGTGATTGGTCTGACTCTCACGAAGAGCAAAAACTCACTTTGTAATAAATAAACTTCACAATAATATTCATACACTTCTTTTAATAAATCTTTTAATCATTTGAAATCTTTTTCATAAACTTTTTTGTTTCGATATTACATCATTAATGTATTGTGTCAGTCATATAACAGCAATAATAATATTAAAAAGTCAAAAATATCAATATGTCATAATAATAATGTGATACTTGTAGCACGCTTCTTGTAGAGGAAAAAAATAGAACTATTGGCTTTTAGGCTACAATGCATTTAGTGAAATCAGCTCCATCTATAATTACGTTTATTTTTATTTTAGTTATGCTATGATCCAGTCCTGTGCTTGCAGCCTACTAGTGGCTCAGTGAGAGTCATGGCTATGAATAACACCTACTATGATGTATCAG